ACCCTGAGCCAACGGTAGCTGATGGCTTAATCACCAGTCGTCGCTGCATCGTTTGTAGTGTTGAATTTTATGGATGTTGAGTGGCAGTTCTGGGTAAATTTGGGCCTCGATTTTATTCAAACGGGCTGCTGCAATGTAGTCTGCCCAACGTAGTTCTTAAAAGAATCCAGGCTCATTGCTCCCGCCTATCCGCAAAATTTTCATTTCAGTTCCTTTAGAAGCCGTTGATAATTTATGTCCTACCCGGCAATGACTTTAAGTGCACTCTTCTGCACGCACTCAATTTATTGAGCTTGGTGGGTGGAAAACTCTGCTAAAGTCGGCAGAATATTTTTAGCAGTGGTCGAGCACATCTGGTGTAAATTTTAACCACCTGATCCCAAAACTGACGGAATTTCTTCATTACGTGAAGCAGATATAAAGCCCTACAACCCTTCCGCACCATTTCATTCACACGTGCCTGTCAAGAAATGGCAATGAGATTGTTTGGAATATTTGTAAAAAAATATCTAAACAAATATTTGTGGACATAGGAACACTTGTAGAAAAAAGAGCAGCACTGGAAAGGGTGATTTCAGTACCGTGTTGCTTTACTTGGTCATGAACCTGCTTAATGACCGCCTAATTTTAGGCCGAAATGAATGGCGTCAAGCGATCAGACCATCGCAACCTGACGACTTAACACGCGCTCAGGTGGGGGTAAAGTTGGCCCCGCCGAGGGTTTTTCCAAACTATTTTCCGAGCGACGCGGCGTGACCATGCCAAATTTTGCGTATCTGTAGAAAACTGAATAAAAGATCGTGTGGTATCATAAAATTAGATGCACCCTGTAAGGTCGCTGACCTACAAGTCAAAGTCAGGCCATATATTCAGCGAAGTCAATTTTTAGGGAGTCGTTCAAGCTGGTGGAACAACGGAGTATTAAACAGAGCTATACATATCTGAGATACTTTCTCAGGCAACACAACAATCGAATGAATAACTCCATACTTGACCTAGGGTCAAATATGAAGTTCAGACCAAGGTCAAAGCCAGCCTGTTTTGTTCCTCTGGGGCTTGCTGTATGGCGAAGTTTCTGGTGCTTATCTTGAATTCATTGATGACAGGAGCCGCATAAGATATCTTCCATGGACTTCTTGAATGTCAGAATAGGTCACTGACTTAGAATGACCCAAGTCAATATTTCTTTTTTTCGGAGCGTACTGCTTTGCGTAATCTTTGTCGCTTATTCAACTGCAAAACTCAAAGCAGTCCTGTGTGATTTGGATCCCCATGATCTTCGAAAGGTCAAACAAGGTCACCGACCTTAAATGAGCATGTGACCTTTTGCTTAGAACAGGTATCTGGGTTCTGGGGTTACTTTGGAGACCAACTTGGAGTTTGATCTTGTTTGACCTTATTTGACAAAAGGTCATGAACCAGGAACCTCAAAAATTGCTGCAAGTGAGTTAAAGTACAAGCCAACACACCCTGGGAATTAGGTGTCTCTAGCTCTCATAGTTCCTGAGACCTCAAGAGGTCAAACTGACTGCCACCCGAGCGAAGGATATCCAACCGGCCGCCCGGGCGCATGTTAAATCTTGAAGATTGGGCGACTCGTCGTATCTTGCTCTGGTTCGGAGATGGTTTGAAGGAGTTGCATGCCTTTGCATAATTAAGCCTGGAAGATTGAAAACAAGCTTCTCAAAGAGATACAGGAACCATCCGAGATTTTCCGGCAAAATTAGAGATCTCAGATCCCAGATGATGCTCCGGCAAAATTATACAAAAGTCCTGGATCTCAGAAGATCAATAAAAACCAGCTTTGGTAACAGAAACGAAACCGGGTACTACATTCCGAGAAAATCCGACATCCAGAACTCTGGTATCCAGTTCCGGGATTCCTTTCCGTGGTCTATACATGCATCTGCTTGATGGCGTTCTGTTTTGGTCCGAATCCGTGCATTAGTCCATTAGAACGCGCTTCAACGCACCGCTGACTTATCTGATAACCATACAAGAGCCATGGCATTTGCCGGTCGGTTCCCGCACCGTGTCAGAGACGCAGAAAACTTCCATCAGCTTCCCCGGCTAGTCCGCTAGTCTTTGCGCTCCCATTCAACTTGCTACTCAAGTGTGACGGCGACGCGAAACTGTTCTGCCGTCTCTGACACCGGCCATATATCAACAGAAAGCCTCCACAGGCCCAGGATTACATCACAGAGCTGCAAAACGGCGCGGTGCACCGCCACTAAATGTCAAACGTGACCGTGGGGGGTGGCAGGGCCTGACCCCAGAAGTAGGGCCTCACCGGGCCGCCATGCCTCTCCAGCAGACCGCACTACCACCCGGCAGCGTGATCTCTCTCTCTGATCGAGAGCCGGGAGCCCCGCATCCGAGCTCCAGCCGTGGCCGGCGCACCAGGCGGCGTGATCTCTCTCTGATCGAGAGCCGGGAGCCCCGTATCCGAGCTCCTGCCGGGGCCGGCCCACTGGGCGCAGCTGCTCGCACCGCCGCGCTCCAGCCACGTCCGGGGCGGGGCAGCACGGAGCGGGGTGGCGCCGGCGCGGTGGGATGGGTGGTGTCGATGGCCGCGGCGGTACACGCCAGGCACGTGCCTCAACTCGGCGCACAGCGTCCGGCCAATAGCGCGGCATGAATAGAATTCCACGGATGGAGCTGACAACCGCTCGGCCGTGCGGCAGGAAGCGCAGACGTGGCATTCCACCACAGAATGCGGTAGCTGCTGGCGTGCTAGAAATTTCGATACGGCCGGGCATCGACATTGGAGGTGACTAGAAAACAGGAGGAGACTGTACGGACTGTAGGGCAGCAACGAAGAGGAGACTGTACGGACTGTAGGGCAGCAGCGAAGAGGAGACCGCACGGACTGTGGGGCAGCAGCGAAGAGGAGACTGCATGGGCTGTAGAGCAGCAGCGAAACCTGCCTGCCAGGGTTTAAACACCTCATGGCGCGCGCTGCACGGTCAGCGCAGAACCGGCGGCAATGGCCCGGCTGGATACAACGCTCAAAATATGAAATTGCTCAGCAAAGCTTGGATTCGGACAATGGTTGGTTAGAACTCACCGGCTGGATATGGCATTTAGAAATTGAAATTAACACAGGAAATTAATTTTGACCATTTGGTCGCCTGGCGCTTGCAGTATATTGCGCGCACTACCTTTGCCAATTTACATCTGCGTAGATCCCTAAGCACAAAGGCAAATAGCGTCGCAATTCAACATGCATAATTCAGCTGGCGGTACCGACATAGGACAGGAGGTAAGCACCCAACTCACCACGTCGCGGTTGAAGGCCAAGCATTCTAACACAAAGCTATGACGTCCTCTGACATCCGAGAAGCCCAAGTCGGGACGTCCTATCCATTTTCAAGAGCGCGTTTGCTCTCATGCCATTAGCGTGGCTTTGACGCTGGGAACATGCTCTCTCTCTCTCTCTCTCTCTCTCTCTCTCTCTCTCTCTCTCTCTCTCTCTCTCTCTCTCCTCTCTCTCTCTCTATCTCTCTCTCTCTCTCTCTCTCTCTCTCTCTCTCTCTCTCTCTCTCCTCTCTCTCCTCTCTCTCTCTCTCTCTCTCTCTCTCTCTCTCTCTCTGTCTCTCTCTCTGTCTCTCTCTCTCTCTCTCTCTCTCTCTCTCTCTCTCTCTCTCTCTCTCTCTCTCTCTCTCTCTCTCTCTCTCTCTCTCTCTCCTCTCTCTCTCTCTCTCTCTCAGACTCTCTCTCTCTCTCTTTATCCATCTGTCTAACTATCTGTCTACCTATTTATCTATCTATCCGTCCTCCCTCTCTTTCTTTCTCCCTCGACCGCAGGTTGGCGCCGAGACGTTCAATGTCAGCACAGGTCGTCACATCCAACCGCCCACACCGGCCGTCCCGCTCGCAGTTACCAGCTTCCTCTTCCCGTTTCGCCACAGCCGAGAGCCGCGACATTGTGCTCTTCCTTTCACCCGGCGACCACGCGGGTGCCTCGGCGGCGGCGGCGGCGGCCGGGAACGCGCCGCGTCACCACCACACCTGCGGCCGCCGCTCGCACCAGCCATCCGGGCACCGCGCACAGTCACGCGCTGACCCGCTCGACACACCTGCGGCCGCCCCACCGTCCCCAGACTCAGCTCACCGGTCAGACTAAAACTCAGACTCAGACTCAGACTCAGATTTAGTCCTTCGACGGCGGCCATCGCGCTGCGGCACCGTGACTGCCGTCGCTCGCACAGACGCCATCAGTTACATCCGCAGGCTGAGAAACGGGGTCAATAGATCGGACCTAGCGCGGGCTTCCGCCATGCGTCACGCGAGTATCGGGGCGGGAGGCGGGGGCGAGGGAGGCGGGTCACGGGGTCAGCTTCCGGCGTGCCGGTTTATGGAACCGGCTCTGATGTGGACGTCCGCGCATTCCTGGAAGGTGCCGATGAGCAGCTGACCTTCCCTCACACATCGGTGAGGCAGCCATCGGCAGCACGGGAGATCGCTGATGGGATCGGATCGAATTCGCGCGTGCGCCGGAAGCCGAGTCATCCAGACATATCGCTACGGCAGGTATCCTCCTCTCCCCAACGTTAAAAAGAATGTGTACGGCCAAAATAAAACATGTACGATGTGAAGTGAACAAATGTAAACAGCAGTTCACCTGTCCTACCGCCGTCACTATTCTGTTGAGGCTTTGTGGTAACTGATTGCCCGCGTCAGGAGGCTTCGCGCTGCCAAGCAAGGGCTATCAGTGAGTCAGTGGTGTTGGTCGATTGCGGCCAACAGCCCCTTCCTGACATGGCTATCTGTCACCATTTTTGACGCGGCTCATGGGCTCACATGGAACCATAACACATGTCCCCGATACATTATTCCGCATCTGTATGTGAGGCTTATTTTGACGATGTCGATGCGCTGCTCATAGCCGGCCGCACGACTAACTGCGGGCGGCTGGTGCTCGGTTGGCCGACCTTGTAGGTACAGTAGGTTTGCGCCACCGGTTCCACTTCCGCTGCAGGCCTGCCTGCGTGGCTCACCTACGAATTTGTCCCGCTTGTAGATGGAGTCGTAGTGGCAGGCAAGCACGAGCCGGCGCGGCGCGGCCGGGTCGTGCGTGGCCACCACGTTCGTGAAGGGCATGACACCGAGCGGGGTGCGCATCTCGAACGTGTTGTCGCCGTCCACCGACCACCCGAGCCCGGCCAGCGTGGTCACGATGTGCTGCGAACGGGGCGGCCGCCGGTCAGACCACTTTCACAGCCGCGCGGCGCGGCCGGGCCGGCGGCCGAGCTCGCTGGCGGCGCGGCAGAGCGGTGACCCGCTTTTTGCGGATGCGCGGGTCTCGTGAGAGGCGTCGTCCGTCGGAATGAGCCGCGTGTAGGCTAGTGGACGGTCACACGTCCTCACACGTCACACCCGTCCTCCTCGCCCGTCCTCGCCACATGTACATTTGGCGAGGACGGCTGTTGCGGGTTTGGCCCGCAGGTGCCCGCCGCCGTTCCGCTGAGAGAAGTGGGCCGCTCCGCATTCTCCGCAGCGTGCGCTCCACCCCAGACACGTCAAGCGCCCGGTGACAGGGCGCCTCTGCACGAGCCGCTCACGGGAGCTCCGCCACTCTTATGAGCTCCCCCGGGTCGTGCTGAGCCCATCCTGTCGCCGGGTGGAGCAAAACAAGCGGTAAAAGCCTGCCTGGGAGGTATTTTTGGACGAGGCGCTCCAAGTTTAGGGAGCCGCGTCCCGCAGATCCGCCCAAAATAGAGCGGGCAGCTTAACGCAGTCACCCTCTGCACCCAAGGCATAGAGCACCATTCAGTGAGGTTAACTGCAGTAAAAAGTCATGGGACCTTCGGGAGCGCTTCAGCTGCCTCGAGTCAGGGATCCTGTTTGCTTCATTGTGCTGATGTTTTCACTTCCTTTTTCACACAGGACTGTTTCCGGTTTATCGTCTGCGTTTTGATGGACCACTAACGTTAACGCTAGCATACACGTCCCTCGGAGTTCTTTGAGTGTGTACAAACCACTTACCTCCTCATATGTCCGTTGGACATCTCATGACAAGCAATCTCCTTTTATGATTTTTGCCTCGGAAAACATCTGAAAATGTTAAGTTTTTGCTACATCGACCTTGCAGACGACCAAAAGCCGCTTCCGCAGGCTGGCACAGGACGCAGATTTCGCGTCCGCAGTGATGAGAAGGCGGCACGTGCTACCGTGTGCGATGCTTACACGCGTCATAACAGGTGCTGTTTAGCTGGATGCCGTGTTGCAGCCCATTCCCACTCCCACCCACCTGCTGTGATATTTCCAGAGAAATGTTCCCCACGAGACTGAACTCCCACATGGTGTCATTTCCCACAGCGCCGTTCCCCAAAGTGAAATTCTAAAAAGTGACAGTCCCATGGGCATCCCACATTCCAGCCCACATTACCCAGAGCGACGTTTCCCAGAGTGACATTCCCAAAATGCGACGTCCGGGGCGGGCACAAAGCGGCATTGGCCGGCGCGACGTTCGGCGGAATCGGCGGCGCTCTCACCTGTTGCCCGCCCTCGGCGGACGTGTGGGCGCTCTCAGCTATCGCATGTCCTCGGCGGCAGACATGGTGGCGCTCTCACCTGTCGCACGTCCTCGGCGGCGGACGTGGCGGCGCTCTCACCTATCGCACGTCCTCGGCGGCAGACATGGTGACGCTCTCACCCATTACACGTCCTTGTCGGCGAACGCGGCGGCGCTCTCACCTATCACACGTCCTTGTCGGCGGACGTGGCGGCGTTCTCACCTGTTGCCCGCCCTCGGCGGACGTGTGGGCGCTCTCACCTGTCACACGTCCTCGCCGGCGGACGCGGCGGCGCTCTCACCTATCGCATGTCCTTGTCGGCGGACGCGGCGGCGTTCTCACCTGTTGCCCGCCCTCGGCGGACGTGTGGGCACTCTCGCCTGTCACACGTCCTCGCCGGCGGACGCGGCGGCGCTCTCACCTATCACACGTCCTTGTCGGCGGACGCGGCGGCGTTCTCACCTGTTGCCCGCCCTCGGTGGACGTGTGGGCACTCTCACCTGTTACGCGTCCTTGTCGGCGGACGTGGCGGCGTTCTCACCTGTCGTACGCCCTCGGTGGCAGACGTGGCGGCGCTCTCACCTATCACACGTCCTCGCCGGCGGACGCGGCGGCGTTCTCACCTGTCGCACGTCCTCGTGCGCGGCCGATGTTACGTAGCGAGGCCGCAGGATCGGCTGCAGTAGCGAGTTGAACAGCTGGCCGTCTGGGTCAAGCGACCGGTCCAGCAGCGCCACCGACTCAAGCCAGCCGGCGAAGTCGTCCAGCCGCAGCGAACGGTGACGCGCCTGCAGCAGGCGGCAGCACTGCCGTCAGACGCCGCGGCAGCGGCGGCGCCCGACGTTCAACATTCTCGGCACCGTTTCCAGTCTCCGAGAAACAACCAAAGGGCAAAACAAAAACTCGTGATGCAGGTGTCATGTTGTGATGACAAGAACTCCTGGTCAGGTCGGCTCAACGGGCGAAATCCGGCGGAGAAACTTGGTTAAAGGAATCAAATCAAATCAGATCAAGTTAACTGAGTAACCGGCACGCCAGACTCAGCGGCTTGAATGTCAAACATGAAGCCGACCTGGCTGTAGCAGCAAAGGTCAAGCGCCAAGTACACGCTGGGAAGCGTTTGGCTTGGTTGCATTGGTATTTTTCGATCCATTACCGCTTGTATTTTTTGCTCCCACAGCATGAGGCTGATAGACGATATTCATATGGTGGAAATGAAGAGCATCATCAGCTAATTGATGCTTTGTTTCGTGGGAAGGGGTGGGGGGAAAATGCCTCTGGGCTGACCAGCACTCTTTAAGCAACGGAGCTCAATGAGAGTACGTTGGACGCTGTCAATCGAATTACCAGGTCTTAGATATCGCCGCGTCACTCAGCAAAGCCCGGATTTGGACTGGCGCGGTGTGAGTGAAAACAGGACTCGCGCTTCACTGGCCAGTGCCGGTGGGTCAAGTGACTAAGTCCTATCCGCTGCCACACCCACGTACTGCAGCACCATGGGCTGGGATGCACGGTCGTCGCTCGTTCACTTCCACGACCGGCGCTATCTGCGTGTGATCACATCGACGCCAGCAGCATGAGTCACTTAAACTGAGCGGTGTCAGGAAGATCGACGGCGCGGGGGGGGGGGGGGGGGCAGGTGGCAGTAACTCGCGGCCGGCCCGAGGGCATCGATATTCGGCGCGCGGCCAGCGATAGCGCGCGTGATGTGTGGACCATTGGGAGGTGATGCTGGCCCGAACGGCTGGGGACCACTTTGAAACAGTGACCGATTCCAGCTCCAGCAGTGTGGACAGAGACAGATGCCGGCTAGAAAGGTCACAGAAGAATCGCTGAGGAGCATCGAAGCCTTTTTCTTGGAAGAAGCCTTTCCGATTTTTGGGATTCTCGGAGGTTTCTAGCCTTTGCCCAGACGAGAGGTGTCGAGACGGCCTTGCGGTGAGATCTTAGGCACTGCATTGTCCACCATTATCTATTGTCCAACGACTATCGTCAAATATTGAACGGCGTGCTAAAATGTCTGTCATTGTTGGAGCGTAAATTGCAGCCTGCTCGCACGAACAATGATCAGAGCCCACGCTGACAATCGTTGAGGACACATTGATAACCCGAGGGCGGCGCCACCAGTGGTTAAGGAACAGCCTCCCCTTACTATTTGCCAATGCGGCAAACACTTCATCCTGCTTCCCTGAAATATTACGAGGTCCCACCATGTTGACAGGAAACCCCAGATGACAGAGACAGGACAGAGGTCCCAGCTGACTGAGACGGAGAAATGACAGAACACTCAGTCAAATAAAAAAGGCGTAATGTCTGTTCCATAGGACCTCAAAGGCCAACATCAGCACCTCTTGATTGACAGAAGGACCAAGACGATCCAAATGAGGCACCATCAAATGCATGGGAGGCCCGATGAAAAACACAGGAAGCTCAGTTAGCCCAGGAGACCCCAATTAGAAAATCAGGGACCTCACCACACAAAACAGGGCCTATTCAATGATACATTCCTACATGACTAGGAAGCTCTTTTGAACAAAAAAGGGCGCAATCTGAGGGCACATTCTGGGTCAGGGATGGGAGCCATTAGTACCAGATCAGAGGGACCCAGATCTACCCATCCCCTGTAAAAAGTCGGCGACTGGCCCTTGCTGCCTCCGCTGTGTTTTCGGACGTAATACACGCTACACGTGACGGGGCTCGACACCAGCTGACGGACGTCTTGTTCGTCTCCTCCCGTCTTCGGGTGCCGTTACTGCAGCCTGTTCCACCCACGGCTTCAGTCCGCTCCAGTTAGGTGCCATTTACCGGAGCCTGGTGGGACTCCCTCGCCTGTTTGGATAATGCCTCAATCCCCTAGCTCGCTGCGAGGCAGGCTTTTGCCCTTATGAGCTGGCTTGCCCATTCTTGAGAAGGTGGCTCGCCCGTTCTCGAGAGGGCGGCTCGTCCATTCTCTAGAAAGCGGCTCGTCCATTCTCCAGTAGGCGGCTCGTCCGTTCTCGAGAAGGCGGCTTGTCCATTCTTGAGGAGGCGGCTCGTCCGTTCTCGAGAAGGCGGCTCGCCCGAGGATCTTTCTCCCTCCGCTAGACCCTGCGGGCTGAGCCGGCGTCGAATCCGCTGCGGCCAACGAACTGCGAGCCGGGGATGCGGGCCGCACCGTTAGCGCGTAAGTGGGGTTGTTACGGTCGGCGACGTGACGCACGAGCCAGCCGCGGCTGGTCTGCTACAGCCCCGCCGAGGTCCGGCGGCCGGCCGTCGTGGCGGGCTGGACCAAGCGCCGCCGGGGCTCGGAGGCTGCTGGTGTGCGCCAGTCCGGTGGCAGATCCGGGCGCGCCGTACCCGTGGACGGCCTGCCCGGAGCCCTTCCTTTTGTGGACGGCCTGCCCGGAGCCCTTCCTGTTGTGGACGGTCTGCCCGGAGCCCTTCCGGTTGTAGATGGCCTGCTCGGAACCCTTCCTGCTGTGAATGGCCTGCCCGGAGCCCTTCCTGTTGTGGATGGCCTGCCCGGAGCTCTTCCTGTTGTGGACGGTCTGCCCGGAGCCCTTCCTGTTGTGGATGGCCTGCCCGGAGCCCTTCCTGTTGTGGACGGCCTGCCCGGAGCCCTTCCTGCTGTGGATGGCCTGCCCGGAGCCCTTCCTGTTGTGGACGGCCTGCCCGGGGCCCTTCCTTTTGTGGAAGCCCTTGAATCTGCGGCGTTGTGAACTGGGCCTGCACCACCGGCCCTCCTTCAAGCTTTCCGCTTTACGCTATTTCAAATGAAAACCCGGTGGCTGGAGCATGCAAGGCGATGGTCACATGCCTGCAGGGTATGTGACGCCTATCTAAACGAATTATCAAGGCGTATGTAAGACCAGTGGTGACGTCAATTCATTGCATTTATACTCCAGTGAAAGGTGGGCTTTTGAGCAGACGGGAGAGACCATAAACGCGATTTTCAACTCGTCTCTTCTCACGCATTGCCATAGAATTAATGCCAAATTTTTCAGCCAAGGGAGATGACCGACCCCTCTGCTCCCCTCCCCCTCCTCTGCTCCCGCTCCGCCTGCATCTCTCTCAACAAGAGGCTACGACTAGGAGCAGGGGGAGGGGGAAGGGGGACCGGACCGTGTCGCCAGCAGTGCCGGCCGTCCGTCGGCCGCTGCGTTTGACCTCGCCGAGCGTGCGGGTCAGGAGCGCCCCCGCCGCCGCGACAGAAATACGCCGCCGGCAGATTGGTTTCGGTATTCTCGGCTCGAGCGGCCGCGTCGCGGTCATGCGTGCCGTGCAGAGTCGTGCAATCACCGGCGGCGGCTCCCGGAACACGGGCAGGGGCGGATCAAGGGGCGGATCACCGGCGGCGGCTCCCGGAACACGGGGAGGGGCGGATCCAGCGCCGGACCGTGGGAGGACGCCACCTGCCATTCGAGTGCTGGCCAGTGCGGTCCCACTAAAAGCAAACAACATTACCGCAAATGTTGTTCTCCGCCGTCTTGGGAGATGGTACGCCCCGCAGGATCCGCTTCTGAGTCCGAATGACTTAATGGCGGCTTTTCCCGAAAGTGGGAATCGAGTAGACCTGTGGTTGGCTGGTAACGGAGAGCGCGGCCGGGCCGCGTGCTCTGCCGTTATCAAGCGGGGCTGAGTGAGCCTCTCAACAAAGCGCCGGTCGGTCGCAGGTTCGAAGGTCGCACGCCGTGTCACCCCGGGACTCGTGGGCGTGTCAGGCTGTGTTTTAGCCTGGGTGCCGCGTGCCCCCCCCCCTCGGTGACGGCCGCGATGCACTGCGTGGTATCGATAGTCACTCCAGGCGTGCAAGATAGCCGCATGCGCAGCTGATGCAATACCGCCAGATGTTATCTTCGATAGTGACGGCTAATCGATACAATTCGTTTCATGCTCGGCTGAGTGTGCTCATCTGTCCGCCATCCCAGGATCAGATTTGACATGTTTATGTACGGTGCACTGCTGGTAACGTAGGATGGCAGAAAGAGGTGCATCATTCTGACTCGCCGTAGTAATGCACCACATTTTCCAGCAAGAACCTCCTTCCTCGCCCTCTCCCCCAGTCATTTGAACTGACGCGGATTCTGTCTAGACAGATATGGGGGATGAAAAGTTCAAAATACGGCATACAGCGATTTTAGAAGACGGCTAGGATTTTAGCAAGTCGCCACATGGCGCCGCTCTGCCCCGGACCACTCTCAGGGATGGACGGCGAGCCGTGTCGGCGCGTGATCTTGTCGGTGATCTTGGTCAGGGAATACTGCGGGGCTCGGCCTGCGGTCAGGGAAAGCCTCCGCTGAGGACCCGCGAAGCCACAGCGGGCCTCATCCGGCCTGAGATACGTCCTGCGCGGAGCAAAACCTTTTAACAGAAGCGCGCTCTTGAACACAGATTATCTGGTTACTTGCCAAGTGCGTCAGTTCTGTTCGCTATGCTCTAGGATCTGCCTCGCAACGAGAAAAATGTGCGGCCACAGCTTCCTGCCGCAGAAAATGAAGAACCGCCATGTCGGGTGCTTTGAAACACCGTTCTGGTGCACCTACCTGCCGAGTCATCCATTCCAAGTTGTCAGCCAGAGCGTGGGCGCAGAGCAGCAGACCGAAGGAAAGTACCCACGGAACGCCTCCCATTGTGGTCCTGGGCAGGACGGGCAGCACTGCGGCGGCAGACGAGCAAAGATTAGTGAGCGGGTGTGCAAGGGATTCGTGAGGAATCTCAGGAACCTCGGATCCATAATTGTTCCGCGCGGCGATCTCAGTTCGCACTATCTTGCCATTTCTGTAACAATTTCTGCACTTGCAGGAAAAGTTGCAATTCTAATGCGATCAGGAACGATTGTTCCGAAATCGAGCGAGCGTCCCTCTTAGACTGGTATCATAATCGGTCACTGACTTCTCAACACTCGACCAGCCTGCATTGCATATAGCGTTCTAGTTGGGCGGCATCTAAAACGGAAAGCTAGCATATCCATGCTACCCGACGTGCCACGCTCTAATCCAGCCTTATTTGGACCAAATAGATCAAGTTACCGTGATTTGGACGCCTGGGCTGCGGTGCCATGCGCACCAAATGCATGCAATTCTGCTGACCGAGCGACATGACAGCCCACATCAACGAAGATCAAACAGATACGCGTGGCTAAGCCGACATTGATCGGCACACCATATCCGTGAACGAACCTTCTGATCGTCACTTCTCGCCGTGACACACGGCGGGAACTGTCGGGCCACAGAACGGACGGTCCCGGCGGCACGTCTCACCTCGTTGACACACGGCGGGAGACTGTCGGGCCACAGAACGGACGGTCCCGGCGGCACGTCTCACCTCGTTGACACACGGCGGGAGACTGTCGGGCCACAGAACGGACGGTCCCGGCGGCACGTCTCACCTCGTTGGCACACGGCGGGAGACTGTCGGGCCACAGAACGGACGGTCCCGGCGGCACGTCTCACCTCGTTGGCACACGGCGGGAGACTGTCGGGCCACAGAACGGACGGTCCCGGCGGCACGTCTCACCTCGTTGGCACACGGCGGGAGACTGTCGGGCCACAGAACGGACGGTCCCGGCGGCACGTCTCACCTCTGTGACACACGGCGGGAGACTGTCGGGCCACAGAACGGACGGTCCCGGCGGCACGTCTCACCTCTGTGACACACGGCGGGAGACTGTCGGGCCACAGAACGGACGGTTCCGGCGGCACGTCTCACCTCGTTGGCACACGGTGGGGACTGTCGGGTCACAGAACGGAAGGTCCCGGCGGCACGTCTCACCTCTGTGACACAGGGCGGGGGACTGCCGGGCCACAGAACGGACGGTCCCGGCGGCACGTCTCACCTCCGTGACACACGGCGGGGGACTGCCGGGCCACGGGACGAACGGTTCCGGCGGCACGTCTCACCTCTGTGACACACGGCGGGGACTGTCGTGTCACGGGGCGGAGGGTTCCGGCGGCACGTCTCACCTCTGTGACACAGGGCGGGGGACTGCCGGGCCACGGGGCGGACGGTTCCGGCGGCACGTCTCACCTCTGTGACGCACGGCGGGGGACTGCCGGGCCACGGGGTGGACGGTCGGTGCAGCTCCGCCCGGGTCAAAAATGGCAGCACAGCGAACGTGCCGTAGGTGTTGCGAGGGGGGGGGGCGGGGGCACAGCTACCGCGCTCGGCAATCGTCTATACGCGAGGCGCGCATGGAATTAGCCATTATTATTTGGGGCAGCAGTTCACTTACCGTCTTCCTGCAGCCAAGTAGGCATTTGAATAATATGACACGAACGGGACGGTTTGCTAGTTCCTCCCGCCACATAGCAGTTCGTCCTGACATGCTGAGTGCCTGCATGCTGATTCAGATATTTAGCGAAAACCGACCATTAGCGCCATTTTTGCGCTGCAAATTGTCCCTCAGGTCCATGCGGTGACGATCCAATGCGCCACCAGTTTACGACCTCGGGCTTTGACGGGCGTGGTCTGAATCGAAAGCTTATTATCTGAATAATTTCAAATTTGGAAAACAAGCGCTGAAAAAGTTAGCTAAAAAGCGTTCCTCTTCTCTAGTGATGCGACTATTGTGAGCCAAATTGTCCGGATGAGATCTGATGTAGCATTCCCAACCCATCCACATCCTTTTTGTGGATTGCTTGCTGATCTTTTGTTTGCGTTCAGTACCCGTGACCCGGCTGTCCGTTAGTTGCTAACTGCCCTACACGCAATGGTGTACCTTTCTCAGCAACGAAACCAACGTCAATCCCTCCTGATGATACCTTCCTTTTACATCATCTGCATCCGCATAGCCGATGCAGTTCTAACGTGCATGCTAATGACTATTCATGACATGCAATGAACGACTACCTCGGCCAAACATCGACTTTCAGTAGCGAGAAGTAATCCCCCAATGCTGCGTGCCTCTGCAAAGACCACACTTTCCCCGTGTAGCTTCCTGGTTACTACAAATGAGGCAGAAACGTGGACCGTGAAATTTTGTAAACCATATGTCTGACAGCTATGAAACGTCATAGCAAGTAGCAGCGCTCCAGATGAAGCGGTTTCATGATACGATTGGAAAATCCGGCTCCGCCCTGCTTCCGCAAGAAAGAAGACTGAAACGTTCTGGCACAGAAGTGATTATTTCCTCCCGTCATGGTAATTGTTTCCGAAGTGGGTTCTGCTGAAGGCTCATGCGGTGTTGGAGGATTGGGGATACAGAAAGATGACCCCAACAAACCCTGTACAAATGCTCCTTCGCTCAGTTTTCACTTTGAACTGAAGCAGCATGACGATGAAAGCGCCACTGCCGCCGCCTCACCTTCCATAACGGTCACGCCAGCCCAACAGCTACATAATCTTCACAGCGAGCAATGCCAGAGCACGACTCCCATCCCCCAGCAAGCCTTTCGAAGCTGCAATGTGATTTGTAACGCGCAACCACGAAACCTGAGGTAATTGGCGAGCATATCAGCGCACCCGCAGGCCCTACGAAACGGCTTATTGGCTTTAAAGCGCATGCGATCGCGACGGTGCGTGGGGCCTGCACCGTCGCACGCACACCTATGACCCCGTATCTTATCGGTGCACCGGTGGTACTGAAAGGTTCGCAGCTGGTCCGCTCGTCTGGTCTGGTCGTTAGCTCGTGAGGACCGCCGTGACCGAAGACCATGCAGTCAGCAAGCTTCCTCGGTCGGGGGACGGGCCGCGTGGCCACCCAGTCAACTCGACTCAGTATCCAGGCTGGCACAGAAACACACCGCAACATTCGGATAATTTATTTAATGAGACACGTGTACAAAGCAAGCACGTTGTGTACATTCATACCTCAATTTCGCTCCCGACCTTGATCGTCTGATCAACGATAGATGATCAACGTTACGCTGGCTACCGCTGCTACCGGGCTGCAGCGGCGACCACATGGAATGCCTACACCAGCGCTGCCTGGCGGCCCATGTCCCAACTAGACGGTGGCGGCGCGCATCGGGAGACATCGCTGCCGTCAGCCCCTCCATCGCCGACGGGGCCCCGGAGGGTGCTCCGGTCTCAGGCGGGTCCCCCCAGGCACCCGTCGGGGCCGCCGGTGGGCATTCCGGGGCCGCCGCGGTGCGCACGGTCTTGCGATGGACGCCGAATGGGCGGGTGGCGCCAGGGCCCCGCCGAGCACACGTCTACAGGCGACAGGGTCACACGAACGCCCATCATAAATAACCCCGCACTACACGGTCTAAATATACAGAATAAAACGGCATAATTTGATCACGCGACAACGCTAGAGTAAACAAACGGTCAGGAAACCAGCCCAAATTAGCCCAGCAGACACAATAATGATAATAAGAAACTCTGCCGTAAAGCCGCCACGTGACTCGCATTTCGCACCCCGTCCTCTTTGTCTCGCGCAGCCAGGGTGGCGCGAGTACACACATCCACAACTGATCACGCTCACACCCACCCATACACTTCCGTTGTATTTACATACAGTATACGACTGTACGTGTACTTGTGTGTGTGTGTGTGTGTGTGTGTGTGTGTGTGTGTGTGTGTGTGTGTGTGTGTGTGTGTGTGTGCGTGCGTGCGTGCGTGCGTGCGTGCGTGCGTGCGTGCGTGCGTGCGTGCGTGCGTGCGTGCGTGCGTGCGTGCGTGCTGTGTGTGTGTGTGTGTGTGTGTGTGTGTGTGTGTGTGTGTGTGTGTGTGTGTGTGTGTGTGTGTGTGTGTGTGTGTGTGTGTGTGTGTGTGTGTGTGTGTGTGTGTGTGTGTGTGTGTGTGTGTGTGTGTGTGTGTGTGTGTATGTGTGTGTGTGTGTATGTGTGTGTGTGTGTGTATGTGTGTGTGTGTGTATGTGTGTGCGCGCGCGTGTGTGCGCGCGCGTGTGTGCGCGCACGTGTGTGCGCGTGTGTGTGTGTGCGGCCGGGAAACAAGGTAAATGTTTATTTCAGCCCGCATGTACTATGCGCCTCTACATGCGAAGCAAACCTGCCTGTCCGTTTCCAAGTGCATACCCACTGTGTGCCGGTGATGGGTGTGCTGCGTCGGGGGGGGGGGGGGGGCTATCTAATGTATGGGTGCGCGGTGTCTCGTTGGCTGGGTTGGGTGGAAGGGGAACGCCGGGCGTGCCACCGTCTCCTGCGCGCGCGCACGCGTGCGTGTGTGTGTGTGTGTCCATGTGGAGTCGTGCGTGTGCACGTCTGCAGAGGGCCGTGGCGGGCCTGGGGGTGGCCCTAGCGGCGTGGGGGCCGAGCGCGGCGGGCGGCGTGCGGCTCCGCCTCGGGTCGGTCTCGCCAGTCGGCCATTTACCTGCAACAGAGGCGGCCAGCTCAGGCTCCAGTTCCCAGCACAGCGCCACCGGACAGACACAGACAGTGTCACCGGACACACACCGGCACAGCGTCGCCGGACAGACACCGGCACAGTGCCACGGGACAGGCACGGGCAGTGTCGCCGGACACACACCGGCACAGCGTCGCCGGACAGACACCGGCACAGTGCCACGGGACAGACACCAGCAGTGTCACCGGACAGACACCGGCACAGTGTCGCCGGACAGACACCGGCACAGTGCCACGGGACAGACACCGGTAGTGTCACCGGACACACACCGGCACAGAGTCGCCGGACAGACACCGGCACAGTGCCACGGGGCAGACACCGGCAATGTCACCGGATAGACACCGGCACAGTGTCGCCGGACAGACACCGGCACAGTGCCACGGGACAGACACCGGTAGTGTCACCGGACAGACACCGGCACAGCGTCGCCGGACAGACACCGGCACAGTGCCACGGGACAGACACCGGTAGTGTCACCGGACACACACCGGCACAGAGTCGCCGGACAGACACCGGCACAGCGCCACGGGACAGACACCGGTAGTGTCACCGGACACACACCGGCACAGCGTCGCCGGACCGACACCGGCACAGTGCCACGGGCCAGACGCCGCCAGTGTCACGGGACAGACACCGGTCGTGAAGGCCGACAAGGCAGAGGTCAAGCAGCCAGTTCAGCGACAGCACACCAGACGGCGGGAGGGAGGGCACGAAACACGCCGCCCGCGGCCCGCCGCACCGCTGGCTCGCTCGCGCCAGGAAAAACGCGGACGTGACAGAATGATGACAAGGCTGTCCTGGTGGTCGCTTCTCACCGCTCAGCACAGAAACCGCTCCGCATTTTAAGACGCCCCAGTGACTCAACAGCACCTATTGGCAACCTCGCCGTTGCCTTCTTCAGCTGTTTCGCATGTCATACCCCAACTGTTCCGAGATTTTTGCCAATGCTACAACGGTCCGCTAAGGGATGCTCAAAGCCTTTAAACACAGGAAAACAATGCACGTCTCTTTGTTCTATTCGGTGTTGCAAAACCTGGCAGCCAGTCACAAGCATGAAAACAAGCAAAGGAACTTCGCCGAGCCGACCACCTCAGTTCCTGTCAACAGCGACAATCGAGAGCTTGTGAACAAAGGACACGGGGGCATCGCGGGAAGCAACACACGCCCCAACTAGCGCCACACATGTGAAACTACGAATACAAAGAAAACCGGCAGGATATTCAACAACAGGACATTTAAAACAGGAGAATTTCGGAGATTGAAACGAAAACAATGTGAACTTTAAGGCAGCCGGGTTCAAAAACCGCCTGCCACACCAGCGTACGCCAATTCCCACATCAGAGGACGGCTACAAATAACGTGCTCACTCGAGATCGAGAGACGGCAACGAGCATCCGAGCCCTTCCCGCGGCTTACCGCAGAAGCCACAGACCAGCGCCTGCTCCGCGCCTGAGCACCGCCCCCGCCGCCGCCGCTCCCACAGACCAGCACCTGCTCCGCGCCTGAGCACCGCCGCCGCCGCCGCCGCCGCCGCTCCCAGACCAGCACCTGCTCCGCGCCCGAGCGCCGCCGCCCCTACTAACCTCAGGCCCGATGCTCCCACTGACCTAAGCGCCGCGGCTCAGCAGCAGCCGCTCTTGTTGGCCTCGATCGGCCGGCCCTCCTGGATCTGGACGCGGCCGCCACCCTGCTCGGCCGCCGACTGCGGCCCCATCCGGCCCTTGATCTCGGAGGCCATGGTCAGGAACGCCTGCTCCACGTTGGTGGCCGACTTGGCCGACGTCTCCAGGAACGGTATGCCCAGCTGGTCGGCGTACTCCTGCGAGACGGACGGCGCGCGCACGGCGTCAGCGGCCGGGCGACAACGAAGCTCACGGACAGACGCGCACGCACGCACACGCGCACGCACGCCCATACCCCCTCCCCCCACATACAGTCAGAAAGGGACAAGACGGTATTGGGCGGGCAGAGCAGATACAGTGTGTCGGACAACAGCCCGACAGGCGAGCTCATTGTTTCATGATCGCGACCAAGGCCACGCCCTGTCATGCTTCGTCAAGCGGAAACGTTCCGTTTACAAGCTACCGACGCTTGCTGACTAAACAAAAGGCCTCGGATTTACACATTTCTGGTGAACATAGTGAGATGCAACGAACGAAAAGTGCAGAATGGCCAGGAAATATTTTACAATTTCACTGATCTTTATGCTTCAGATTTCACGGGACCAACCAATCGCGCTCATTTTTCAAACATCTTTCAAAGAAAACAAGATGATAGTGAAATTATCTTCTGAACGAAGCGTCCCAAACACCATTGCGGGTGCCTCTTTGCGGTTTTTTCCACACCACATACTTAAAGGAGCATAATTTTGGGTCAATTTTTCCAAAGAAACCGGTGATAAGGCACACGATACATTCGATCCTGCGCTACCAAACAACCCATCAATTCATCCACACGGCTTTTCTCAACTACCCATCATCGTCCTCATACGATTGTCCTCCTGAGCTCTTCGGCAGGCAGGCACCAGCTCGGGCGTCCCCCGCGCCCGCCATGATCCCGCTGGGGGTGGTACGCGTCGTGACCGTGGCCATCGGCGCTCTGCTGCCCGCCTACGACTCGTTCAAGGCCATCCGCAGCGAAGACAGCCAGGCACAGATCACCCTGCTCGTCTACTGGCTCACGTTCGGCGTGTTCACCACCGGCGAGCTGCTGTCCGATGCGGCGCTCTTCTGGCTACCGCTGTACGCCGAGCTGAAGCTGGTGCTGCTGCTGTGGCTGCTATCGCCGCAGTACCGAGGCGCCGTGCTGCTCTACCGCGGCGCACTACACGGCTGGCTACTGCGCCACCAGCCGGCCATCGACCAGTGGGTGCAGTACACCCGGCTGCGGGGCCACCTGTGGGCGGCCGCTACGCTGGCGCGCTGCGTGCTCGCCGCTCTCCACACCATGGTGAGCGCCGTCTGGCGCCTGGCGCCACCGGCGCCGCCGCAGACGCAGCAGCAGACGCCGCCGCCGCCACCAGCCGGGAGACAGCCGGCGCCGGGGCCGCCGGCGCGCGCGCTGGCGGCGGGCCCGGCGCCGCGACCGGCGCCGCCGCTCGACACCCGCCAGGTGGCGGCGCTCAGCGCCGGCCTCGAGGAGTCGTGTCGGATGCTGCTGCGCACGGCGCTGGCCGCGCAGGCCGGCAACCAGCTGCTGTCCACGCTGCACGAGCAGGCGACACTGGCGCCGCCAGCCGCGGCGGTCACGACCAAGCGGCACTCCGCCGAGCCGACCAACCTCGGTGAGGGTCGCTCCAGCGAGCGGCGCGCGCACCGGCGTCGACACGCCGCCAAGTCGCGCTCCACCAGCAGCGAGCCGTAGCGCGCAGTCGCAAACTCCCCGCCGACTCGAGCACGGACCGGATCTTCAGCGTTCGACCGCGTGAAGCCGACGTTGAAGGTCCCGGCCGGGGCGGCACCGTGCCGGGGTCGGTGCCGGCGCCTCTCGGCCAAACTCCGGGGTCCATCGCGCCGTCCGTCCTGCCCGTGACGTAGTCCGGCGTCCCGTAACAAACGACCCTCTTACACGCCTCGGACGCTTGGCTTCGCGATGCTTACAATACATAGGCGCGCCCATCGCCTTGTTTCTGTCCGGAAACGGATGCAGAACCGCCGACAGTGACCAAGCGCAGGGGCACACCAACCTGCACATCCGTACCCCGAACTCAGAGAAACACACACAGGGGGCAGCGCGCTTACCTTGGCCGTGGTGAAGTCGACCACCTTCTTGGCGGCCAGGTCGCACTTGTTGCCGACCAGCAGCTTGTTGACGTTGTCACAGGCGTAGCGGTCGATCTCCTGCAGCCACTGTTTGACGTTGGTGAAGCTTTCCTGGTCGGTGCAGTCGTAGACGACGATGATGCCGTGCGCGCCGCGGTAATAGGACGAGGTGATGGTGCGGAAGCGCTCCTGGCCGGCCGTGTCCCAGATCTGCAGCTTGATCGTCTTGCCCTCCAGCTCTATCGTGCGGATTTTCTGCACACAAAGGCAAAGGTTAGCCGCAAATGTCAGAGTTCCACGGGCTTGATGTTGCCTGTCAACTACGCCTGTGACGTCATGCAAACCACACAGCCTGACAACCGACGCGTATAAAAGCCCACAAAGCTCACACTATGCACAACGCACCCGTCATGATTAATTTACGGGGCGTGGTTATGCACCGCTCCAGTCAACCGCACAAATGACGTTGGAAACACCAAGGCCGAGCATTTGGCAGATTCGAGCCGAGTTTGTCACTTACGTACAGAGCACAATGCTTTGTTGGTGGACACTGAGGAGAGACTGACGCCGGCCAAATGGCGGATGTTGGAACATGCGATGGGCAGCGAAGAATCAATCCCACCCGGCTGACCTTGTCTGGGCGGATGTTAGAACATGCGATGGGCAGCGGAGAATCAATCCCACCCGGCTGGCCTTGTCTGGGCGGATGTTGGAACATGCGATGGACAGCGGAGAATCAATCCCACCCGGCTGGCCTTGTCTGACCTTGCCACTTAAATGGCGCATAAATGTCAAATTGTGGGTCCTCAGTGAGCGACACCTTCCCCGCATGGAGGCAGGAGCCGTCACATCAAGGATAAAGTACATGGAAAGGAAAGGTCGCAGCCATACTGGGAACATAAAAACCCGTTCGACCATGCAGCCAGCCTTCACGGCCGCCGCCGCCACCACGGAATGAGTACGTATGCACTAAGGTAAAAGACTTGCGCCAGCGCCAAACCAGAATTCGTAGTTGATGATTAGGAACAAAGATTGAGCTGTCCCGTATTCACCAATAACACCTCTGGGGGCAGGCGTACACCGAGTGAAGGGAATTAATAGAAATCCGTCCTGATGCCACCGAGCTCTTCAAGACTGAGTGACTGGATCGAAACTGACTAGATCGAGAACAAGACACATATGAGCCAGCCAGCCACTTGCACGGTCTGGGACGAGTGAGGCAATAACGGGCGTGAGGGTCATCACTTGCTATGACGCATACCGTGTAAAAACTAAGTCTCTGGAGCTGCGCTCGATCCAAACGTTCGAAAGCCCGCATTCCGTTGGGGTTTAAGACGTCAAGATCCACTGGTACAGCGTGCGAGCGCTGATACAAAAGTCCCTCTGGTACAAATTGGCTGCCTGTCAATTCAGGCAAGCTTAGCAATCTCAGCCGGCACCACTGATAACTTTACAGTCACTTTGATGTAGGAAATCCCTCAGCTCCTGGTTTTCGGCAGCATGAGTTAACAGTTATTATGCTGACGACCTGCGATATACTAGGAGGTGCTGGTTAAACGGCACACTCTTGAGGATCAGCACAGCTCAAAATATTACGTAGGGTCAATATGATTGCTAATTAACATTACAACATTGTTTTACGAGCAGCCTTAGCATACTAAAGGTTGCTAACTCAATGTAAGAACCTTTAACATATTTTGAAGTAAACTGCGGTTTTGGCAATGGTGACAAGTGTAGTGAAAGGAAATAGTTTGGGTGAATATTTGTCACAATAAAAAGAGGTACAAGCCCCTATGGTTGTCATGGGTCATACTCCCCGGGCTAAAGTTTTGTACTCGATATCGGTCTCGGGAAAGGTGACACTGCCCACTTTCCAGCCGACTCCTGGCGATCCTATTACATGGGTCCGGCCGGCACAGCTGGCACACCTATGGGTCCAAATACTCTGTCGTTTGTAAGTGCGTCGTAGTGAGTGCAGCTATCTTCACTGCACAGTCGGACGGGGGCTATCGCCCGCTTCTGGTGTGCTAATATCTACACGACCGTTCGGCCAGCTCATTTAACGGCCGTCGTCGACTGGTACCGAGTCCTTACAAGGACTGGATGCTATTAGCTTTCAATCATGCACGCGTCACAGCCCCATTTTCTCCTTGGAATTGCTGGGATTCAAACCGGCGTCTTTTGATTAAGAGCCCAGCGCTACATCACCGAGCCGATCAGACGAGCCGGCGACTTAGTCCTCAGTGCTCGGAAAACACCTCACGACGGATGGAAAATGGGCTAGCCGAAACGTGTTGTGCATACAGCACAGCAGGCAAGGACGATAGTCCGAACAATTATTCCATCCATAAAACCAATGCCTCGTCCCGATCATTTCGTGAAATTGTAGCCGGACAGTTGGTTTCATGTCGCTGTACCCCCGCCCCCCCCCCCCCCCCCTACTCGGAATTTGACGCCAATCCTGGGTGACATCAGTCCTAATGGCTTCAAATTCATCTTGCCCATCTTTTAAAGAACTGCACTTCCTATCGCTACAAATTACATGAACCTGTAGCTTGCGATTGAAAAAATGTCGACGTGTATGCAGCGCAACCGCCAGGAAAAATCTGGTCATGTCCTGTCAGGTCAGGTCAAACCAGATCAGGCCAGTTCAGGCCACGCCAAACAGGATGGGCCAGACTCGCTCGACCCATGGCCCCGCTCGTAAATACTCTCATCCCAAATCACTGACACATAACACGGCCAGATCCGGGCGAATCCGCTGAGCCAACCTAAACAAACCACGAGCGATGATCTTGGGCATCTCCACGATTTCGGCACATGGAAACAGACTATGAGTTACACCGAATATCAACGTACGAAGGCGGAAGCGCGTCACACCCGGGTCCGCAAAACCGCCCTCCCACTGATGGCTAGCATCGACCTGTAACGTGGGAATGGCGGGGCGAACGTGTTCGTACCTGAGCTGACATTACATGAATCCCACACGTGCTGGGTATTCACAGAAGCAGGCACGACAGCCTAAATGCTCACAGTCCAAGCCAAAGCTACCGCAAGGGTACGGGGTGGCCCGGCTACATCAATACGTCAATCGGACAAAAACCCAGAAGGTACATGATCCAGCAGCATGTTAATCGTGCTACCAAACATGGATTGCCCGAAAATGCACTCTTATCGTCCTTCAAACATCTCCAGTAGGGCAAATTAACGGCAGTCACCGAGTCTCCCACAAACAACTCAGCGACGGCAGCTGACACCACCAAACGCAACCGGCTACGACCGCCGGGCTCCCCAAACTGCAAGCACCCAATTTTCAACGGGCCCGTCCCGCAGCACGCTCCGATCAACAAGTCGCGGCCGGCAGGACAGTTCCATCCGGTGCGATCCGGCCCCATCTGCGGCGGCCGGCGAGCCACGGCGGGCCGTGCCGCCTTCCGGACGGCCGATCACACGAGGCCCCGACCCCGGCTTCACCGGCGCCCGGTCACTGACCCCCACCAGCGGGCCGGCCCGTGACGTCACGCAACGCGAACAGTGCTCCCAAGGTCGGCACAGAGCTCACAACGGCTCGAAAGCGAGTTGTTGCCGGCCGTTGACGTGAACGGCTTCGGGCGCAAAGTACCCGCTGAGCGGCGCAGCTGTGGCTTGCGGGCCGCTCGCCCACGTGGCGCGGCTCCCGCTCAAATGCTATCGTTTGCCCCGGCCCTGCCTAGGCACCGGACCGGGAGAGCAGACACTCCCGTGCCGTTCTACGCCACAGCACGTCCGTCTTATCGCCGGCGAGCCCTCAGCCGGACGTTATGAACAGTAGTGCGCATAAGGCCGTCCTCCCCGGATATAGCGCAACGCCTGCAAGCGGAGTCTTGACCTTGACCCAATAACCAAGGGGACAGGTGACCGCACGCGGGCAAGACCTTGACCTCGCCGGGCCGGCGACCTGCCCGTGCGAGCGATGCCCCTCCAGGCCCGGTCGTCAGGCGCCGCCGGCCCACCCCAACGAGCAGGGCGGCGCCGGAACACGCAAACAGCCCGGATCGATACCCGGCACGCGGCCGGGACGGCGTGCAGCCGCCGGCCAGCGGCCGTGACGCCCGGCCGCCGGCCGTTATCCGCGGCATCTGAGCCGCGTGCTCCCCCTCCCGCCCTTCCCCCTTCCTCTCCCCCTCCCTACTCACGAAGTCGACGCCAATCGTGCTGATGTAGCTCTCTGTGTACGTGTCGTCCTGCGGGTGGGGGCAGGCGTTAGCGTCGGCGCCGGCGGGCTGCGCGCGTACGGCGCGAGGGTGGGCATGATACGGGGGCTGCCTCCTCACTCGCAACGGCACGGCCGCAGGACGCCGCTGGCACTCGCGGCGGCGCCACTGACCGTGCCGGCCCATTGCCGGAGCTCGGCAGAACAGGCGGGCATACGTGGCGGTCGCACCAAGCGCGCTCGCTGGCTGCGTGGTCGCGATTAGCAACATCACGCAGATGCATTTCATCAAGGCGCCTGCCGACATGGCCAATCTACCTCCACATCACCACAGACTCCCCACAGTGTGATCTGCACACGAACGTCACCGGACCGGGGACGCCTCGCAGCGGTCAGGGTCACGCGCGGCAGGTCACGGCCCGCGCCACTCACAGCGAACCGCAGGAGCAGGCATGACTTGCCGACGCCAGAGTCGCCAATCAGCAGTAGCTTGAACAGGTAGTCGCTGGAACGGACGGGGCGCGGTCAGCATCGGCTGCCACAACCGCAAGGCGCCAGCTGGAAGCGGACGACCGAAGACAGCTTGGCTGTCGGTGCCACGCCGGCGCTGTTGCTCGTGCTTTGTTTCAAAGACGGTTATTTCCTGCATGCTGCATGAACCCTGGATACATTCCAGGCCCCATGTATTGACTCTCAGTTGTGCTGTGGGGTAGACTGCATCCTTTAAGCCTATTATATACAGCTGTGGACATCCGTGGCAATTGTCTTAATGTGTTGGTGTGTTCTAATGACTGAGGCCAAATGTGATCAAGTCATCAGCACATCATGACACCTACAGCACGTTTCGACCCCCTGGGGAAAGCGTTTTAGGGCTAAGCCCGCACTGTGCGATGAGATAATGCCTCCTTCAGTTGGACCACCTTCGCACGCTCTAGTTTCAAGGATTGTATCGCATGGTCCCGAGGATTGTATCGCAATCTTCTGCTGACGTCCGGGAAAGATCAATGCAATGTGGAGTTTGGCTGGAATCAGACAGGGCTATTTCTGATCCTGGTAAAATCCTGTCTGCGGATTTCGATGCTCGACGCTCTGGTCTTTCACCTCACCAATTTTCTGAACCGTCAAACTAACCTATTCACTAAAAATCTCTGATAACTAAAACTGACCTCATTAACATTAAGTTATCTCACTAACTTCTTCAGGAACATCTAAAGGAAATGCATTTTCTAAGCCCAATGTTGAAGGTTACCAGGCAATGTATTGGTGGCTGCAAAAGGTGGCTTGCACAAAGCAAAAGCTCCACAGATAGCTCCTTTGCAGTGTAACCAACTTCTTGCATACCATAGAAACATGTAGTGCGAACAGCATATATGTATACTAATCAGCATATCCGCAAAATGTTGACAGCATATCTGCAAATCCACTAAACTGATGGCTGAGACTGGCTACGCTGGAAAAGCCGTCAGTAGAAAAAAATTTGCTTTCAGTATGACAAGAGCCAACATGTGTCATCACTGGAAATTTTGGACAGAGTGTGTTTTATGTTCTCATAAAACATGCAAAACCAGTTCAACCGCCACAGAAGTGAATGACTTGCAAACTGCAAACACAGTCTCAGTCAAAATTCCAAGCAATCCTTTCTGTACAAGTAAATGCAACTTTATAAAGAGATAGGTATGGTTAGTCTTTCGGGAGACCGCTGAACGAAAAATCTCAAATGTGTGGCTTTTTGGCAGTTTTGGTGCTCCATAGCTCATGTTCTGCTTAAGGCTTCATTATGAGTGACACAGCAAACATGGGATAGGCAATTCTGCGAAAAACACTTCATTCTATGCTTATAAGCTGCTTTGTTGAGGCCTGGATCAAACATTAAACATCGTTGCTGGGTTCAATATTAGTGGGATTGGTTCTCAGTTGAATACATGGCACATTGTGCAAAGGTGATGCCACCATTCTGTTTCATGCTATGGTCAGAATCTGCCTGTCTGGTGAAAATGGTATGCTCTGAGTAACACCATCTGTGTGATGGAGAATGGTGACAGCCCTTTGGTAGATACAAAGTATGATGCATTTATTTTAGCAGAACTAGGTAAATAAGTCAACATTCAAATTCTGTAGTCGACAAAGCTCACCATCGAGCCATTGTTAGGTTAAATAACATGTTGTAGGGCCTGCGTTTAATTGTTTTCATTTTGAATCATGTGTCTAATTGTCCTGATGTAGTTAGTTAGCCATGGCTTTAATAGAAAACATCTTGCACACTTACTTATTGCAGGAGTAAATTAACTGATACACTTTTTATCAATCAAATAATTATTTAAGGGAGTAAATTAATTAATTGGACTGGCCACATATTGGCACAAATGACGTCTTACAGCAGTGTGCAAGTTTGAAGGTACAGCATGCTATTTTCAAGCAAAAGTTTTTCAGACACCACTCAAGGCAGTACAATGGAACTGGCTCTGATCCAACTCTGAGTTGGCGACAAGTGACTTAGTTCACAATGAAGTTAATTCACAATGGTTCAACTGCAATGCATCTGAGGAAGACAACATTTTATTTGTGTTGAAAAATCACATATTTGCTGATGGAATCAGTGTTGGAAATTCCAGAAGTCTTCCTGGTAGCAGAGTACAAATTTTCTATAGTGGAGTGCAAAATCATTCAAGCACTGCAGGTCATTACAACTTTATATTATCTTTGAGAGATAATAGTACAATGGGTGGCACTCAACAAAAAGGCCACTTTTCATATGCAGCAATTCATGTAACAGCACTAAAAACACTGAAAGGAAACATCAGTTTTAAACATGGCACATTGAAACAACACAGTCTCATACTCTGTACTATGAAACACATGTGCATGTACATTGGTTTGCAATTTATGAAAGGCTCTGTCTATACACCCTCCAAAATGGAGGGTAACCATGCATCGGGTTTATACACTCTCCACAATGGAAGGTAGCTACACACTGGGCTTATACACCCTCCAAAATGGGGGTGGGCATGATGCGCACAGCCAGACAAAAATGGTACACAAAAAATGCAAACGAACATGCCACAGACGGCCACCTACTCACGCTCCACCACGGTCATGCTACTCACGTTCCACAACGGTCATGCTACTCACGCTCCACCACGGTCATGCTACTCACGCTCCACCAGCTAACTGGTTTTAAAAACAGCTCAACATTCATGCCCTCCACCTTCCCATTTCCGGTCATCACGAGAGGCCATGCACGTCCCACCTGAACAATAGAGACAGGCAGCACTCTTAACCGATTTGCCGAGCCAGCACAAGTACAATGCCTGACAGACCCGTGCAGGCCGGCCAAAAGGGATCAGAGCCAGTCACTCCGCTGGCTCCGGCGGATAATGCAAGGTATTAATGGATTTTGATGCGCTTGAACCGATATCAGTGCGAAATATGGTAATTTATGTTGCAAGCAATTGATGTTTATGTCATAATTAACCCTTCTCCTTAACTGGCAGGCAAAAGTTGTGGGTCCATGCTACTCTGGTGTCCTGGGTTTTTGTCAGAGGAGATGACTGTCTCCGAGCAGTTTTTTGGCTATTTGGAGTAACTTTTTCGACTTGAAAGGGCATTTTTGTAAAACCTGAATTACCAGCTTTAATTTTACACCCTTAAGTGACAAATTTAACTTGGTTTAAATCCACAGCTGCCGTAACATTTTTGCACACCGGATACCAGGAAATGCCCAAAAACCCAACCACATGGCAGCTCTCTATAAGAACAAATAAGTCCTTCTTCGTAATCATGATGCCCATCTTTATACAGCTACCCTCCAAATGTTGACAAATCTGTTCAAGACATGGGCGCGAGCAGAATATTCATGCTCTTGACAAACCGGTCACAAGGAGGCGAATCATTAAAACCAATTGGAGAGTTTTGCTATGTTCAGCCTCCATCCTGAGCTGGGAGGCAGGCACAAGCCACTGAATAGTTGAGACGTCTCTGACACTGAATTGCGAATGATTATCTTACGTGCATTGCCATGACACAGCTGTGGCGCTCGGGTAGGCGGCCGTCTGCGGTAGATGATTGGGCGCGTGGTTTTCTATGAATGTTCGTTGCATCCCTGGTAATTAATGCGATCCGTCGTCAATGGTAGGTTGAGTCATGTTCAAGTTTGAGTTGGTCTGTGTAAGGCATAGGAAGTGAGAGCTCTGCTGATCTACAGACCGGTGCGATTCTGGTACTCGTTTCTCATTTCCCGGTATTGTTCAAAAGCGATTCCATTCAACATTCATGTGCCTTATTTTTCATATTTCCATACATGGTTTATCATATACCTGGGTGGCAACACAGGCTGCTTGCTATCGGGCATCTTAGTCTGGTGGGTGCAAGATTTGTGCTCTTGCAGATATCAATACATGGCTCCTGATCGAAGCATTAAGTCTCGGGGTGTTGCACCTTCTGGTTCTATTTTGTCCTGACACAAAAAGGTAAAATGAGGTCTTCCAAAAGCTGTTCTTGTTGCATCATTATGGAGTACAAAATATTTCATTTTACCTAGTCACAATCCAGGAGTACAAAATTTCCTGGTATGCATCATACCAGGAAACATCAAGTTTTCCAACACTGGATGGAATGTGCATCAGGGGTGTTAAACCTCATGATTATGATGAAATCTGATTTTGTGTACTTTTCCATAGACAAAAGGAAAACAATCTTATGGCAATAGTAGCCAACAGCAGATCCTCTCTTTACAGCCACCTAATTTTCTTACTTAGAAACAAAATGACACTTGTAAGGTGCAATGGAGTGGACAAAGCTCTTTCTGTCTTAATCAGATATTGGCATCTGTTAGAGTGAGAATTTAGCATCTATGAGACCTAGCTACACAAAAGCAACAAATGTGAGATTTCATACAATTTTACTACAATATGTGTGGGGATGCAAAAGGCTGGCATGAACATTACACAATCATGCCTTTTAATAATGCCAAGAGATCAGACAAGCAGAAACTTCACTGATGGGCACCTTAGCAGCAGTGTCAGTGCCAGTATCTGATGAAGATCAAGGGGACTGGAAGTCACCTACCACTGATGGAAAGCTGCACCAACTGTAGAAAAATCTCATATGATGTGCACATAGATGGTGAACCTACCCACAGTAGCATACTCAATAGATATAAATTGACAGTTGACCCATCATGCATTTGCTTGGTTAAGGAAACTTTCCAAACTACTTGGCACTTTTGATTAAGTGTCATAACATTTCTATGCTTCTACAGCTTGTCTTCAAATAAATATGTCATCTAACCAGTGTTGGAAAACTTGATGTTGCTGTGTAATGTATACCAGGAGATTTTGTACTCCAGGATCGTGACATCGGTAAAATATGGGTAAATAATAGGTAAAACGAAATAGTTTGTACTCCATCATAATGCAACAAGAACTGCTTTTGGAAAAACTCATTTTACCTCTTTGTGTCAAGACAAAATAGAGCCAAAAGGTACAACAGCTTGAGATTTTCTGCTTCTATCAGGAGCATGTATTGATATCTGCAAGAGCACAAATCTTGCACCCACCAGACTAAAATGTCCAATAGCAAGCAGCCTGTGTTGCCACCTAGGTATATGATAAAACCATGTACGCAAAAGTGAAAACTAAGGGTGTGAATGTTGAATGAAATCGTCTTTATACACTACCGGGAAATGAGGAACGAGTACCAGAATCGCACAGGTCTGCAGATTAGCAAAGCTCTCACTTCCTATGCCCCACACAGACCAACTCAAACTTGAACATGACTTAACTTACCATTGACGACGAACCGCATTAATTGCCAAGGATGCAACGAACATTCATAGAAAACCGCACGCAAAATCACCTGCCACAGACGGCCGCCTACCCATGCACCACCATTGTGTCATGGCAATGCAAACAAAAAGAATCACTCACAATTCAGCGTCAGACACGTCTCAACTATTCAGTGGCTTGCGCCCTCGCCCCAGCTCAGGTCGGAGGTTGATCATAGCAAAACTCTCCAATTGGTTTTAATGATTCGCCTCCTCATGACTGATTTGTCAAGAGCATGAATTTCTGCTCGCGCTCATGTCTTGAACAGATTTGCAAACATTTGGAGGGTAGCTATATAGAGGTGGGCATCACAATTATGAAGGACATCCAGAACCGCCATGTGGTTGGATTCTTGGCCACCTCCTACTATCCGGAGTTCAAAAATGTTATGGCAGCTGTGGGTTCAAACCAAGTTAAATTTGTCACTTAAGGGTACAAAATTAAAGCTGGTAATTCAGGCTTTACAAAAGTATCATTTTTGAGTTGAAACACGCTGCTATAAATAGCCAAAAAACTGTTCGTGAGACAGCCATCTCACTCCGGCAAAAACACCAGGACACCAGAGTGACATGAACCCATGACTATGGCCTGGCAAATTAAGGAGAAGGGCTTATTAGGACAAAAACATCAGTTAATTGCATCATACATTACCATGTTTCGCAATATCGGTCAAAGCGCATCAAATCCATTAATACCTTGCGTTATCCGCCGGAGCCAGCAGAGCGAGTGACTCCGATCCCTTTCAGCCGGTCTGGACGGGTCTGTCAGGCATTGTGCTTGTGCTGGCTGGGTGTTAAGAGTGCTGCCTGTCTCTATTGTTCAGGTGGGGATGTGCAGGGCCTCGTGTGTTGACCGGGAATGAGAAGATGGGGGGCATAAATGGTTAGCTGTTTTAAAACCAGTTAGCTGGTGGACCACGAGAAGCGTGACCATGGTGGAGCATGAGTAGCGTGATTGTGGTGGAACATGAGCAGGTGGCCGTCTGTGGCATGCTCACTTGCATCTTTTGTGTACCATTTTTGTCTGACTGTGCATATCGTACCCATCCTACATTTTCGAGGGTGTATAAGCTGGGTGTAGCCACCCTCCATTTTGGAGTGTATAAACCTGATGGGTAATTACCCTCCATTTTGAAGGGTGTATACACAGAGCCTTTCATAAGGTGCAAACCAGTGTATATGCACAAGTGTTTCATTGAACAGAGCATGGGACTGTTGTTTCAGTGTGCCATGTTTAATACTAATGTTTCCTGTCATTTAAAGTGCTTTTACAAGAATTGCTGCATATGAAAAGTGGCCCTTTTGTTGAGTGCCACCCATTGTACCACTATCTTTCAAAGATAACCTAAATAAAGCTGTAATGACCTCCAGCACTTGGATAATTTTGTACTTCATGATACAAAACTTGTACTCTGCTACCAGGAAAGTTTTTGGAATTTCTAACACTGCATCTAACCCTACAAAATAACTTTTCTGTACATGCTCATGTATTGAACTGGCCTATAGATGGCATGGTCACGGCAGCTGTAGAAAGTGGAAAGTATACAAATTGGAAGGCACATTAAGAATTCAATGATATTCCCCTGATGAGCAAAGTTAGAAGCTTCAACAACAACAAAGTATATAATTAACTGAAAGATGGTTGGACTGAGCAAAAAGTAGTACATTTAAATGTTAAAGCTTATTAGTACCAAAAAATACCTCATACTTCATGCCAGCAATGGGAAGTGGCTGACTATCGTGGCTGTGTGCCCACTGTGGCCAGCCTCTCACAAATGGGGCATGCCAGTTCCCCACACTGTATATCCCCACATATAACCATTGATGAAGTGGGATGAGAGCACTTGTGTCTCTGTTCAGTTGCAAAGACATACCTTACATTATTGAAGGGCCAGTTCAACAAATGCCTGCCCAAAGATGTTTGGCAGCATGTATGTCATGCTATGGCTGGCATGTACTAGCCCTGCCAGGTCTATTAATTGGACAGCAACCTAAGCTCACTTAAGCTTAATTAAGCTTAAAGCTTCATAATGGTAAAATTATTTATAATGGCCTATAAATGGCTTTCCCATCCAGCATGGAACCACCTGAAGTCTGATCTCAGTATTTCCTTGATATGCTGGTGAGAAATATTCAATTTTTGCTCTGCTTACTTAAATTGGAGTTTCCAAGACAAACAGGGCATGACAACATAGTCTTGAAAGACAATTACCTGAAAAAGTGCATCTCAGGTCTTATAAGTTCCCATTCCAGGCACAGGATATGGCTTTCAACTACATACCATATCAGTTTCCTTATGAACAGCATGTCACAGGTGGCATTCAGAACAGACAAAATATGAGTGCTGTAGTGGGAAATATTTTCCTAGATGGAAAAACCTTGTAAGGTCATTTGTCAGCCACTGCTCCAAAGCAACTCATAGTTTGAGGTTGCACAAACAACCCAGCTGGACTAGACTTGGGTTTTATCTCAGCACCCAAACCAAGTGAAATGAAGGATGTAAAATCAATTGTGTGGATGTCAGAACTTGAAATGGAAGATGAAACAAACCCCATAACAACTTATCCCTAAAATGGTGCACACAACATTAATAATAAATAAAATACTGTTCCCTTTTAAGAATACTTTTCATAGATAATATAATGGAAACACATCCAAGTAGAGAAAAATATGGATCTTGGACCAAGGGTTTTATCTCAGCACCTAAACCAAGTGAAATGAATGATGCAAGATCAATTGTGTGGGTGTCAGAAATTGAAATGCAAGATGAAACAACCTCAATAACAACTTAATAATCCCTAAAATGGTACACACAGCATTAATACTAAATCAAATACTGTTTCCTCTTAAAAATACTTTCCACAGCTAATATAATGGAAACATATCCAAGTAGGGAAAAATATGGATCTTTGACCAATAACCTGACACTTAAGATCCACAAAACATATAATGCAAAAATAACTCTAAAATTTGATTGGGAATGTAAGTAACCAGCCAGAACACAAAAGACATGCAACAAACAAAGAACAGGTTAAAGTTAGACAAAGCCCAGCACGAGATCCTTCCAAACACCGAACACGCCAGAAACGTCTCAGCAGCAGATTATCTCGAAGGAATAATCCGACCCCACACCAACTTACTATTCGGGATTCATGATGAGTGTGAATAAGATACAGTTCACAATATAGTGTTCTTGGGTATGGTATATTTACTTGTACTTAATTTCGTACAGTACAACCACCTCCACGCAATACCCCACCACACAGGCGCAAGCAGCTGACGTCTAAGCTGAGGGCGTGCGTGCAATTATGACGCAGCAGCTGTGACGCACTAGTGAATCACAATGTCATGCGTAAAACTGTGTTTCAGGCTTTACATATCACTACGAGGTCCGTAATATGTAACAAAAAGTGAGTTGAAGTAGTGATACGAAGTTACGTCTGAGATATGCGGCAGGGTTGGCTTATACAGCTGATCAAAACTTGTGCAAATGGACATTTTTATTTTAGTAGCCACACTTCTCCAACATGGTGGTAAAGATGCAAAACTATTGCAGTGCTCTCTTGCGTCTGTCACCTTAATTTTCATCTTGAAACAAGATGGACTAATAGTAGTTTTACTTAAGCTATAGAAATAGTTTCTTACTATATTTGACCTCCATTTAGGACCAAAACAATGCGTTTCGTGGGTATCAAAAATGATACAACAAAACCAGCATTCTGCACCTTTTTGTGACGTCAACCCTAATATACTTCAGCTATGGCGCGAAGGGGACATTTTCCGTACATTGGTTCACGAAAATTCAACTTGAGGGCACACACGGAAGGTAGTAGGCGTAGGGGCGACGTTGGCAAGGTTTTGGCGGGTGAGTTGGTACGGGCGGGTTATTGTGAGGGGTTTGATAATTGACGGTCAAGAGCTACATAATTGACGCTTCTTTTGTTCTTGCTTCAGGAGCGCCTCACCGAGCTACCGATTGACATCATGTGGTCGTTCTTCTCAAGAGATCCTTCTAAAGACTTTGCGTTTGATATAAGTGACCAAGTCAAGGGGCTAGAATACAGAAGCTTTTGGCGAGTCCATGCAGGTCGCAAAAAGGTACGATGCAGTCTGATAGAAATGGTTAGTACTGTTGTGTTTTCTAAAGTTCAAACCTTTTAATTCTCAGATCTGTCCCCTGTGATAAAATGTAAGTATATACAACATGTTTCAAAAAAATGTAGGTGGTGTCCACTGCAGTGTATTGGAATGTGATATGATGAGGTAGATCCAGTTCCTTCTGCTGCTTTGCAGTTTTGATAAAAAATGAGCTTGTATTTGGTTAAGAGCCTCCTTAATCTTGACTGTCCTTGCCTAGTGAACTGTTAATTCCCTGACATAGAGATGGTATTTAACTTAAGAGCTGCATCAATGAGTACCAGTAATTACAGGGTCAATTTAAAGGGGCTGACAAGCTAAGGAGTCCTAGGAAGGTTTGAACATTAAAGCCTGGAATGGACCATGTAATAAGATGTCTGCAGGATGTCTGATATTAGTCAGGCTTGTTAAAAATACTAATAAAACCTTGAATGCTAGATATGTAAAAGTACCAACAAAAAAAATATGGGCTTCTGGGAATCCCAGACAGCCTTGAGGCCCTTAAGTCTGGATGCCCCACTATGGCTATACCATATATTATATATGTTATGTCTGTAGGCCCAAAGGCCATATAGAAGGCTGCATTGGCTAGGGATGAGAAAAATTGTCTTATTTGACCACAACTGTTATAGAGCCCTATGCCAATTTTAACATATATGCATGTCACATTTATGACATATTTTGTGCAGTGTAGAGATGAAAAAATTGTGGCAACTTCTGATGTGTCATAATACAAAAACTTACTTCAGTAAAACTTCAAGCTGCAGCAGAAGAAATCTATCTGTGCATGTATACCTTAGATTTGTATTTTGACTTGATCTTTCTCCTGCATGCTGAACCTAGACTAGCCACTGGGGCAACAGAGTTTTACAACTTGTGGAGCATGTAGAACTGAATTCCAAGAAGATGAGCAAAAGGCCATCATCCAGGCCAGAAAAGTCATCAATTTCTACTGCTCTCTCTCTGGAATGGTTTTTATAGGTAGGAGCATCAGAGGAGGTGGCCAAATCATCCCTTGCATCCTTTGCATCTAGACTGCACATGATGCAGCAAAAAACAGAGGTTTGCACTGTCTACAGGCCAGTACAATGCTGCCTTGCCTGTGGTTTGAGCCATAGTCAGAGTGGTGTTTTGCTGATTGGCCAGTATGCAAGGAGGTGTTATAGTCATCAGGATGGCAAAGAGTGCAGCAAGTTATGACCAGCAGTTGTTCTATGTGAGGACACCATACTTGTTGCATACTTGAGTGTAAGTGTGGCTCCAGACTCTGGAGTTTCATATTAAGTGTTTAAATATCATGGTGAATACTGTTAAGGTGTTAAACAAATTTGACACACTGGTGTGGTGTAACAGAAATTCTGGGCTGCATGGCAACCTGATCTGTCATATGCCACTTTTACAGGAGATGGCTCATGTTATATGCTGCATGTGACCTGCTGTGTCAGGTGAAATGAACTAAAGTAATGTCTTTGCTGTCTTTGGCATAGTGGTAGGGGTTTCATTTGTCCATATTATTCATTTGTCCAGTTTAAGCCAAGACATGATGTGGTTCCAGCTTGACATTGGATAACCTAGACATCTCTACAAATACCTTGTTTGCCTTGTGATTGCATTATATTTGTGTGTGCATTATAAGCTTTCACCATTTAACCACTTGACACATCTGGAGACAGAAGCCCAGCAGTATGCTGCAGTCTGAGAGAATGCATCTTGAAACAATTTTCCATGCTTGTGCAATGCAACCTTTGAGAACAAAGTGCTCTTGGCATGCTGAACCTTTGTTGCAAGCACTCATGCTTAGGGTTTGATGAACAGATAGCTAAATTTTTCATAAATTGTGGCATTTTTCATTAACAGCGGTGTTTTCGAGCAGATCTGATCCATTGGGCAGCAGGAAAGCAGCACATCGCACAAGGACATATCACTGAGCTGTCACCCGATGCCAGACAATGCAAGCTGTATCATCGACCGCTGACCGACCGCCAACTAAGAGGGCGAGGCGCGAACGTGCTGACGAACCGCCGAAAGCTGGATAATAAGGGACTTATCCTTCACATGTAACTGAACTCATGAATAATGTCTCAGTAGTTTTGATACGACGTCCGTACGAGTCCCTCCGCGACGTTTCAAATTTGCCCCCACCTTGTGGCATGCGCTGGCCAGAATGTTGTTTGTCGTTTGAGATTAGCAGCAACAGCACCCCCTCGCAGTTCGCCAGTCCGAGCGCGCCTGTGTTCGCTTCCACAGGGTACCAGCCAGAACGTGTCTGTGTTCGTCTTTGATGTGAAGGACGGCTCGGAGGCGCAGCTGGAGCTGGCCAAGGCGGCCGTGAAGCGGCTCAAGACGCTCCGACATCCGGGCGTGGTCACCTACATCGACAGCACTGAGGTAAACGCTCCGACACCCGGGCGTGGTCACCTACATTGACAGTACTGGAGTAAACGCTCCGACACCCGGGCGTGGTCACCTACATTGACAGTGCTGAGGTAAACGCTCCGACACCCGGGCGTGGTCACCTACATTGACAGTACTTGGGTAAACGCTCCGACACCCGGGCGTGGTCACCTACATTGACAGTGCTGAGGTAAACGCTCCGACACCCGGGCGTGGTCACCTACATGGACAGTACTTGGGTAAACGCTCCGACACCCGGACGTGGTCACCTACATTGACAGTGCTGAGGTAAACGCTCCGACACCCGGGCGTGGTCACCTACATTGACAGTGCTGAGGTAAACGCTCCGACACCCGGGCGTGGTCACCTACATTGACAGTACTTTGGGTAGACGCTCCGACATCCCGGGCAAGTGGTCACCTACATTGACAGTGCTGAGGTAAACGCTCCGACAACCCCGGGAGTGGTCACCTACATTGACAAGTAGCTTGAGGTAAACGCTCCGGACACCCCGGGCGTGGTCACCTTACATTGACAGTAGCTTGAGGTAAACAGCTCCGACAACCCGGGACGTGGTCACCTACATTGACAGTGCCTGAGGTAAACGCTCCGAACACACGGGCGTGGTCAACCTACATTGACAGTGCTGAGGTAAACGCTCCGACAAACACGGGCGTGGGTGTCACCTAACATTGACAGTGCTGAGGTAACGCTCCGACAACCCGGCGTGGTCACCTACATGACATTGCTGATGTAAACCTCCGCAAACACCCGGTCGTGGTCACCTACATTGACAGTGTTGAGGTAACGCTCCGACCAACCCGGGCGTGGTCACCTACATGAGCAGTGCTGAGGTAAACGCTCCGACACCCGGGCGTGGTCACCTACATTGACAGTACTGGGGTAAACGCTCCGACACCCGGGCGTGGTCACCTACATTGACAGTGTTGAGGTAAACGCTCCGACACCCGGGCGTGGTCACCTACATTGACAGCACTGAGGTAAACGCTCCGACGCCCGGGCGTGGTCACCTACATTGACAGTACTGGGATAAACGCTCCGACGTCCGGGCGTGGTCACCTACAGCACTGAGGTAAACGACGCATCAAAGAATAAAGGTGTTTGTATGTCTGTACATGATTTCACCGATTATTTATCGTTTTATCGTCGAAAGCGATCAAACCGAGATATCATGCGCATGACAGTAGAGGTGTATGTCTGAGCATGTTCACGGGTTTTTGTGTTCCCATTTAACTTAGGTTTAGTGCAAGCTTTCTTGGGATGCTCAGGCTTAAGCCTCCAGCTTCGTACATGATGATCCTGTTTAAATTGTACGAAATGCCAGATGAATCGTCAAAGCTGAAATGTGATGCAAACATAAATGATTACGAATAAATATGGTTAGTGGATACATATGTCATGCATTATGAAAAGCTTGAAAACAAGATGGTAAATATTTTGTCGTTGTTGCATTGCTTGAAGGTTTCATAGTTTTTGTCCCATAAATTATAACACAGACGCAATCGGCAATGCTCAGCCCATAATGCATATCAGTTTGTGACTTCTCTTGACGTGTGCAATACAGACAGACAAGCTTGTGTACCTGGCCACGGAGCCGGTGACACCACTAGAGGAATGGCTGGAGAAGTCCTCCATATCCGAGAAACAGCGAGACCTCGCCATATCCTGGGGTCTGCTGCAGATCACTGTAAGTTGGGGATGTTGTGGAGGGCTCAACGCATTCAGACAGGATTGAGAGGTGGCCGTGGCTATCATATCGTGGATCATTGTTTCTAAAACGAGATACGTTTCGAGTGATGGATCATGATACTGTCTACCTGTCACTTGGGGACAGTTTGTCATGTCTTTGTAATTTTTCATGATAGCAGGGGTCGTTAAATGAGCTCTGCTTCAGATTAGCGCGAAGGTTTGTGTTCTCTTTCCTTTGCTAGTCTTGGTATTTGCCTGGGTGGAAGGAACTGAACGACGGTGGATGTACCATGGCGGTGAACATGGCCTTGCTCACACCGTGCCCTGTGCGGTAATGGCATGCGTGTTTTGTGTTGCAGAAGGCGCTAAGTTTTCTCGTCAACGACGGGAAGCTGCAGCACAACAACATTTGCATGTCCTCCGTCTTCGTTGACGCTGCTGGGGAGTGGAAGCTGGCAGGTTGGTGTGCTATGCCCCCCAGACGTTGTGTCCCAGTTTTGAACTAAACGCGGTCGTCCTGCCCATTATCGTGCCGAATCTTGCCACCTGAACAAGCTTGCATACTATTCAGAAGCGTTCGCGAAATCGATGGGACTACGTTCGTATTTTAGCAGTGGAATGCTGGATGTCACTTTTTTCTTCCTTTTATGCGTGATGTGCTGTCTTTGGGCCTCCCACCGGTCTGGTATTTATCGGTATAAAATTATGGTCCCTTACGTCGTGCGCAGATTGCGTTTCCATCTTGACACTTTCCTCCCGTATCAAAATAGTTCTCGCTTAACTGAGATGACAACGATGGCCAACGCTTACGGAGCATGAATGCATAATGGTTAGGCAGCCGCGCTATTACCGATTTCAGCAGCTAGCCAGGTGCTGGACACTGACCGAAGCGGGCCAGATCCTGGGCACGGGCGCCCTGCTACCGAGGCGGAAACGCGTGGCGTTGTTTCGCTGTTACGTCTTGAGTACGCGACATTGTTCTGTTGCTGGGTACCGGCCATACTACGTGACGCCATGATCCACCGTTAGGTGTGGAGTGCGTGACGCCATGATCCGCCGTTAGGTGTGGAGTGCGTGACGCCATGATCCACCGTTAGGTGTGGAGTGCGTGACGCCATGATCCACCGTTAGGTCTGGAGTACGTGACGCCATGATCCACCGTTAGGTCTGGGATGCATGACGCCATGACCCGCCGTCAGGTCTGGGGTGCGTGACGCCATGATCCACCGTCAGGTCTGGAGTACGTGACGCCATGGTCCGCCGTCAGGTCTGGAGTGCGTGACGCCATGATCCACCGTCAGGTCTGGAGTGCATGACGCCATGATCCGCCGTCAGGTCTGGAGTACGTGACGTCCGGCTCGTCAGGGCCGCCGCCTCATAAGGCGTTTCCGCAGCTGCAGGTATACGACCCGCCGGAGCGGTCCGACCCCTCCAAACAGCGGCTGACGTCCTCCTGGTACGTCCAAGGGGGAGGGGGACGCATCGGCCCACGGGCCAGCGGTGCGACGCGTGGAGGGGGCGGCAACGTCGTGATCGATGTGTGATCCGAGGACAGAGGATGCGGTGCTGCCAGCGAAGGTCTGTCATGTCGTGCCGGTTGTCACAGCACTGTGAAATGCAGGGAAGGTGGATGCGATATCGTGGACCGAGGACATGGGAAGAGGTAATGGCGACTGGACCGAGGACGGGGGAGAGGTAATGGTGATTGGACCGAGGACAGGGGAAGAGGTAATGGCGACTGGTAGTCTGTCGTGGACCGAGGTCAGGGCAAGAGGTAATGGTGACTGGTAGTCTGTCGTGGACCGAGGACAGGGGAAGAGGTAGTGGTGACTGGTAGTCTGTCGTGGACCAAGGACAGCGGGAAGAGATAATGGTGACTGGTAGTCTGTCGTGGATCGAGGACAGGGGAAAGAGATAATGGCGACTGGTAGTCCGTCGTGGATCGACGACAGGGGAAGAGGTAGTGGCGACTGGTAGTCTGTCGTGGATCGAGGACAGGGGAAGAGGTAATGGTGACTGGTAGTCTGTCGTGGATCGAGGACAGGGGAAGAGGCAGTGGTGACTGGTAGTCTGTCGTCAATCGACCTGTGTTGCGATGAACCGGGGCCGCCACTCTGCGGTGTGGCTGTATGTGCGAGTCTTGTGGATGATCGATACTATGGACCACATGCCCCTTTTGGCCTTCTACAGCTGCCATGAGACTGTTCGGAAGCCGGCCACCCATAACACAGCTGGTCAGGCTAGCGACAGTTTCGAGCTGTGGTGGAATACGCCGTCCAATTACTCAGAGCTTGTTAAAGGCAGCAAGGAAATATCTGTATAGCTGAAGAGCGTATTTTGTTTGAATCGCGATGATCTGAGGTTGGTTTTGTTTCTTCGGACCCAGACCGGTACTTGGCTCCACTTAAAAGAAGTCGATTCTAAATATGACTTCCAGAACACAGATCTAGTTTGGACTCTGACTAATTAATTTTACCCGTTAGATTAAACAGTGCACCTGAGTCTGACCATCCAAAAAGGAGATGGAGTCACCTCTGGTTCTAGACATTTGAACTAGTGTTGCGCAATTACAGAGTCCGTTCGAAAGCACCGTCAACCTCACAAGGTTTTTAGCTGCTTCGTCACCACCCTGACTCCACAATATTTTGGCGGACTCTTGAATCAGTTCTCACCAAGAGTCCGAGTGAAGCTCACGTTTGTTCGGGCGTCATCTTTTGATCTGTATCACTGAGACGATTCACTGGAAAGGGACCAGATCGCCTTTCGCAGTCAGATAAATGATGCCGAGAAGCCAGTTGTTAATGTTTCACTTTTGCTCGTTTCCGGATACCGCTGGGCTTGTATATGTGTGGCGATCTCATTTATCCACCCGGAGAAGGTACACATTCGGACGCCACGTGATGTCTCGCCGCTCACCTGCTACGCGCCACGTCCGTTATTTCCTCCCCGTCATGCGCCAGTGGTGTCCGAACACTGCCCGGTGTTACCGCCGGTTCTGTGACCCTGCCCGGCATCACCGCCGGTTGTGTGACCCTGTCTGGCGTCGCCCCGGTCTGTGACCCCGTCCGGAATCACCCGCCGTTCTGTGACCCTGTCCGGAATCACCCGCGGGTCTGTGACCCTGTCCGACGTCACCTCTGGTTCTGCGACCCTGTCCGGCATCACCGCCGGTTGTGTGACCCTGCCTGGCGTCACCCGCGGTTCTGTGACCCCGCCCGGCATCAACCCCGGTTTTGTGACCCTGTCCGGCGTCACCCCTGGTTCTGCGACGCTGCCCGGCATCACCGCCGGCTCCATGACCCTGCCCGGCGTCACGCGTCGCCCGCCCGTCGCAGGTCGACCGACACCTGGGGCCTCGGCTGTCTCATCTGGGAGGTGTTCAACGGACCACTGATGAAGATGGCCTCCCTCAAGTCCACCAGCAAGGTGGGAGACGGCCTGTCGCCGGCCAGCGCGGGGGCCGCGGTGAACCAGGGAGCCGGCGGTGGCTCGGGTCGGAAAGCGAGCCAGGTGTTCGCTGGGAGGCCGGCACCGTTATAGATTTATGCTCGCAGGTGATTGTTGGTAATCGATGGCAGGCTGCAAGGCATATGAGGAATACTGAATGTGTGCTACTCACTGTGGTGGCCAGGTGCTGGATTTCAAGGGTTGGCGATTTCTGTGGCTGGCTGGTGATGCACGCGGTCGAGCGACACAACAGGCGGACCAAGCGTCCGCTGGTTTCTGCAGCGTATATTGCGTACCGGGTCAGCTTCCACGAGTCCGGCGGACCGTGCGGCGTCTGACCGTAGCCTTGACCTCGGCAGCTGCCCAAGTCGCTGACGCCGCTGTACTGTGACCTGGTGGGCGGGAACCCGGCCGGCCGGCCCAACCCGGCGCAGGTGGTGGAGCGCGGCCGGCAGCCGGGCGGCTTCTTCAACAACAACCTCATCCAGTCGCTGCTCTTCGTGGAGGAGATCCAGATCAAAGGTGCCAAGCGGCGGGTGTGGGCGCAGTTAGGAATCAGGGGTTGGGGCTGTTAGGCGATGACAACAGTACGTACTTCTTTATCATTCGGGACTTTATGAACAAACATGAATATTCAAGGTTCCGCTGTTTGTATTTTGGCAGCACTCGCTAGTATCTGTATCATTGGAAAATTATTACCAACGTCAATATTCTAGCTTGCGCTTTTGCTCATTTTTTACCAATCATCGCTCACATGCGACAGTATAACAATACAAGTCATCGCATCTGCGTGAGTTGCGTGTTTTTTCGCCGTATCCATCTGGTTAAGTGCACCAGTACCATTATTGGCTGATGGCTTCTCCAGACACGGTGGAGAAGAACCGTTTCTTCGGGCAGCTGCCGCCGATGCTGGACCAATTTCCACCGGACCTTGCCAAGAACAAGATCCTACCGCAGCTCATCACGGCCTTCGAGTTCGGTGGCTCTGGGTCCACCATCCTGGCGCCCATGTTCAAGGTGGGCGCGTCCTCAGCGGCGCCTTTTCCGTACGGGCCACCGCATGATCTCCCAAGAGCGCGGCCGAGTCCACCTCCGAACAACAGCTCGGGATGCCCGTCGACCGGGGATCTCTACTCATATGGATGGGGCTGGGGAAGTGGTATGTTTCTACAATCAGCTGGGTACCATATGCCTTATAATTCGCGTTATTTGCGCTGATGTCTGATGGATTGGGGACAGCGTTGTTTGTTTTGTTTCTGATCACCCTGTTGTAGCGGCAGGTACTTGCCATTTGTCCTCTTTCTGTAAGTTTTCAAACGCTGATGAGACCGCGCCGCCACGGAGTCCCGCCTGGCCGGCTTGCGTGCCCGGTGTTGCAACGGAAGGCCGTTTTGCACTGGCGCAAGCTGCGCAAGCTGCGCTCCGCACGTGGGTCACTGCTCGTCGTGTTGTGGTCCCGCGGCCCGCCCGTGACGCGCCGGCGCTGGCTCGCGCAGCTGGGAGGCCTGCTGTCAGAGGAGGAGTACCAGCTGCGCATGGTGCCCTGCCTGGTAAAGCTGTTCTCATCACCCGACCGGGCCACGCGCGTCAAACTTCTGCAGCAGCTGGAGTCGTTCGTGGACCACCTACAGCCCAACACCGTGAACGAACAGGTCAGTCACAGGCCACCTGGCGGGTCAGGGGTCAGGCTAGCTGGGGAGAAGGTCTTGTAAGGTCAGGCTAGCCGAGAAGGAGCGGGACAGCTGAGACGGGCCAGCTCAGCTGAAACCGAGCCTAGAAATATTGGATGACACTAAAGCTTGCGTGAGTTGACGGTGACATGAAAGCCTGGAAGCCGGTGAGGCCGAGCTGGGAGGCTTCCGAGCGACAACCGTGCCGTGGGCTGGGTTCAATGGTCAGGGTCCCGACGACAACTTCGTCGTCTGCCGGCGGGGATCTGCGGGGAGAGTGACGACGCCTAATGACCCGAGGTGCTGAAACTGACTTAAACCCTCCAAAACAATGGGTTTCAGCACGAACGTATGCCGTTATAAACCTGCCTCAAGTGCTGTGGGCGGCTGCGCGAAAATTCAGGATTTACATTTCGCCAGCCAATTAGCATTATCGACAAGCCGGTTCACGGAATGGGCGGGCGGGCGGGCGTGCGTGCGTGCGTGCGTGCGTGCGTGCGTGCGTGCGTGCGTGCGTGCGTGCGTGCGTGCGTGTCCGGCTGCGGCAGTACAGGTGCCTGTTGTGTCTCACGTGACGGTGCGGGTCACCTGCTTCAGATCTTCTCTCACGTGGTGACCGGATTCCTGGACACGAGCCCAACGCTGCGCGAGCACACGGTGCGCGCCAGCCTGCTGCTGGCGCCCAAACTCAACTACAACAACCTCAACGTCGAGCTGCTCAAGTACTTCGCTCGATTGCAGGCCAAAGACGACCAGGTGAGCGCGGTCGGGTCACTGCTGGCGAGGCAGTGTCGTGTGGTGTGGCAGCGGCTCCAGGCGGTGTCGTGTGGTGTGGCAGGGGGTTAATGCGGTGTCGTGTGGTGTGGCAGCGGCTCCAAGCGGTGTCGTGTGGTGTGGCAGCGGGTGGGGGCGGTGTCGTGTGGTGTGGCAGCGGATGGGGGTGGTGTAATAGAAGAAGAAGAAAAGAGTAGAGGAAGAGCGAGATGAGGCCATCTCACGGCTGAGCCGTGCAATGTTATTTAACTATCACGTAACAGGTGGCAATGTGTGCGGGCAGCGTGATAGGGGACTGCATCTCTGCGAGAAAGGTATCACGTGTTAAAAAGCTTTCGCCAATGCAGGTTCGAGATAGGTTTCAAACTTAAAACACGCATCGCGTTTTCAGAAACTAGGTACCTGGTAGGTCGTGGATATGGTCAGTGGATTGTATTATGAAGACGAGAAGTAGTTTTTGTTTGTTGTATTTGTAATTGTGTTGCAGAAAGTAAACGATCGACCTCGTCATTTTTGTTCGGGGGAATTCAAGTTGACCTCGCACACGACGGCCATGGTTAACGAAAACCACTGCGATGGCCGGGAATCGAACCCGGGTCAACTGCTTGGAAGGCAGCTATGCTCACCACTATACCACCATCGCGAGGAGTGGGTGGGCCGTTTTAAATGATCCAATCAGATTTGCTTAATTGTGTTCGGTCTCCGTGTGGCTCTGTTACCTATGAATATCCCTAACAAATCGCTCGGTTCAGGCTTGTATATCAGCCAAAGACAGAACGATAGGCAACAGGCAACTATCAATGCGGCAAAGTGTGACGTCACAACCTTTTGGTCGTGACGTCACGGGGTCCTGGGTCTCGGCCGCGACGTCACAAGTCGTTGGGTTCGTGGCAAACTGCCCAATATCTGGGGAAATATAGCAGCAACTCGAGATGTACGCATGCATATTCCAACGAACGGCCTTTGTTATGGGCGCAAAATGACCGCAGTAGTCGACGCGCCCTAAAACTCCAATCAACAACAACAACGAACGGCCTTGAATTCCTGGCTATCCTGGTGTCGAAGAACAGCACGGCAACACGGCGCTCATGATTCTCCGTACATGGATAAGCGGCGGGCATTGGAGCACCTCACGCAGTTTGGCCCGTAAATAGTGGCATGCATATTGGCAGGGGCGCAGCCAGAAATGGCGACGGGGGAGGAGGCTACGATGACTGACAATCGGTTCTGCTGCGTACCGTTTAGATTTGTTCTGCTATGCGCTAGTCGTGTAAATTAATTATGCCCACAAGGCTCTACATGTCGCTAACCGTGCTGGTACCCATGATATTTGCAACCAAAACAGTTTTCATATTCAGTAGTGTCGGGGTGAAAAACTACGGCCGAACCTGACGGGGAGGGGGACAAAGCCCAATTAGCCACCCCCTCTCTTTGGCTTTGCCACTGCCTGCATGATGGCCCCCAGGGGCATGTGTGCATCTCCTAAAATGTATGAAGCACATTAACATGCCTGTAAATACACATTATCATAAAATACGAAGCATGCACGTAAAGATAAACGAAACGTGGATATGTGATGTGATACGAGGAATTCCGCACGAGAAATTTCGCTTGCCTGTGGTGCGTTAACCTCGGTCTTCAGTTAGATTTGTATTTGTTTCGTCCCCCACCCCCCCTCCATCCTTCCCACTGCGAAATCTTTCTGAAGCCCCTGCCCTAACCAATCCAGGCCTGACAATACACCCTGCGTAACCCGCCTGTATACACGCCGAATCGGACACCCCGGCAGCGTGCCGCGCGTCGATGTGGCCCGTGTGGCCCGTCACGTGGGTGGCAGGAATGTCTACTGACGCCATCACAGCCCGGTTCGGGGTTCACTGCTGCTGCCGCTCTTCCCTTCGCCTTCTGCAGAAACCACGACTCTATTGATGCCGGGTATGCCCATTCTGTTGTGTTTGCTGAAGTGGTGTTAACTTATTAGCATTGACGGTCAACGTCAAGCTCTGCCTCTTCCTCATGCCCCCCCCCCCCCCCTCATCAACACCCGTACTCCCAGTTCTCCATCTGACCACCTGCCCCCTCGCGTCACAGGGCGGCATCCGCACCAACACCACCGTCTGCATGGGCAAGATCGCGCAGTACCTGCACCCGTCCGTGCGTCAGAAGGTGCTGATCTCGGCCTTCCTGCGCGCCACCAAGGACCCGTTCCCGGCTGCTCGAATTGCTGGTGCGTCTGATAGGTGGTCGGCGGGCCGGAACGTGGCGAGTCCTAGTGTTCGGGTGTAGAACGAATGCTGTTCGCCGTTCTGCTTTGCTCTGCTCTGCTCTGGTCCGCTCTGCTCAGCTCTGCTGTGCTCTGTGCTGCTCTGCTCTGCTCTGCTTTACCATGCTTTGCTCTACTCTGCTCTGCTCAGCTCTGCTGTGCTCTGTGCTGCCCTGCTCTGCTCTGCTCTGCTCTGTTCTGCTCTGCTCTACCATGCTTTGCTCTACCCTGCTCTGCTCAGCTCTGATGTGCTCTGTGCTGCTCTCTACTTGCTCTATTCTGATGTGGTCTGCTCTGCTCTGGTGTGGTTCGATTTGGATACCGGTGCCAGACTGACGTCCGCGCCCTGCACCGCCCTCTTTGTTTTGTGCAGGAGTGCTGGGTCTGGCTGCTACCCAGCAGTACCACCATCTGTGTTCTGTACAGGGGTGCTGGGTCTGGCACCACCCAGCAGTACCACCCTCTGTGCAGGGATGCTGGGTCTGGCCACCACCTAGCAGTACCACCCTCTGCGTTCTGCACATGGGTGCTTGATCTGACTGCTACTCAGCAGTATCACCATCTTTGTTCTGTGCAGGGGTGCTGGGTCTGACCGCCACTCAGTAGTACCACCCTCTGTGTTCTGTGCAGGGGTGCTGGGTCTGGCCGCCACCCAGCAATACTACTCGCTGGCCGACGTGTCGGCTCGCGTTCTGCCGGCGCTCTGCCATCTGACGCTCGACCCGGACAAGGAGGTGCGACAGCACTGCTTCAAGACCATCCGCGGCTTCCTGGGCAAGCTGGAGAAGGTTTCGGACGACCCCAGCCTTAAGGAGACCATGGGTGAGCGGCCGGCGGTGCACTGCTGTCCCTGTGGCGGTGAAGTGAGGCGGGGCACCGGGTGTCACCCCTCACCACACTCATGCGGCACCCGGCGGTGCACTGCTGTCCCTGTGGCGGTGAAGTGAGGCGGGGCACCGGGTGTCACCCCTCACCACACTCATGCCGCACCTGGCGGTGCACCGTTGTCCCTGTGGCGGTGAAGTGAGGCAGGGCACCGGGCGTCACCCCTCACCACACTCGTGCCGCGCCCGGCGCTGTTTACCCCGCAGTAGGCCAGTAGGTGGCGTGACCCAGTCCCAGCCGTGTTTGATCCCACCACTGTCGGTGTCGATGCGTGCCCCGTCTGTGCGGAGCCCTGGCCATTGGTCTGTGGCGGGTACCGGCGCAGCCCACTGGCGGCTGAAGCTGTCGTGGCAGCAGCTGACTGGCGGCAGGGTGGGCTGATCGGCCGCCAGGGCAGGCGGTACAGGGGCAAGGGGTCTGTGTTCCAAGCCGGAGATCCGTGCACGGGCCATCAAGGCGTCAAGGGACGCCCGACCCTGTTGCCTTTCAGTCGACTGCCGGTGACCGTGTGAGGGGTGTCTGGCGGCAGTTCGGCGGCGACTGAGGCCCGGTGCTCACCGGCTTTAGAGCAGACTGAAGACCTTTGTCACTGCAGTCTGCCTCCATCACTAGATGCCGCCGCGTCGATGATGGGGCGGTTTTCTGTTTTTGTGTAGAAAAGCTGTCTGCGACCGTGCCTATTCATAATACCTTGCTTTTGTTCTCTACTTTGCTCTCTACTTCGCTTTTTACTCCTGTTTTCCGATACACGATGTGTCATGTGCGTGTGTTTGACGTATCTGTTGTGTGCGACTATTTTCCAAGTATTAGACTGTGTGTGCGTGCGTGCGTGCGTGCGTGCGTGCGTGCGTGCGTGTGTGTGTGATGGTAGCAGCCATCTGGGACCATGACTGTTGTTTGTGATAGTTCCTTTTATTTGTCCCTAATATCTGTGGTAACGGCCTGACGTCCACCGACAGAGGCCGACATCAACAGCCACACGCCGACAGCGGGCACGGCTGGCTCCGGCTGGGCCAGCTGGGCGACGGCTGCGCTCTCCACCGTCTCCACCGTCTACCGCAGCACGCAGCGCGCCAAGTCCCGGCCAGGTCAGACCGGAGCACCCGGTGGGTCAGATTCGTACACGAGGAGAACAGGGCAGGGCAGGGCAGGGCAGGGCAGGGCAGGGCGGGGCAGAGTAGAGCAGGGCATAGCAGGGCAAGGCAGGATAGGGCAGGGCAGGACAGGGCAGGGCAGGGCAGGGCAGGGCAGGGCAGCCGAGGCGAGGTATAGCTAGGCTAGGCTAGCCATCGGGCGGGAATTTTTGTCGGTCATCACAGCGGCGGTCGGAATTACCGAGTTCCATATGAGAGGCGTGCGATGGTGGTATAATGGTAAGCATAGCTGCCTTCCAAGCAGTTGACCCGGGTTCGATTCCCGGCCATCGCATCGGAAATTTTATTTGCGACCCAGTATCCTGAATGCTAGAAATGAGGTACTGAATGAAGCCCATAGTCGGGGATGACTCGGAAAGAATCCAACCAACGAACAAGTCTCGTTTGTCGCTTACTAACCACCATGACATTATGGGTAGAGTTTTTCCTTGCCTTGCCGCCATCTGTGCCTGGGTTGGCCTCACCTGATCTGATCTCATCTGACCGTAGAGCATGATCTGGCCTGACCTGGCCTAGTCTGGTCTGGTCTGGTTCAGTCTGGCCTCGTCTGGTCTGGTCTGGGCTGGTCTGGTCTGGTCTAGACCAGTCTAGTCTAGTCCGGTCTAGTGTAGTGTAGCATTATCTGGTGTGGTGGTTTTACATGGAGAGTCTAAGCTCGATCAGGTCAGGCCAGGCCACATCGGATGAGGGCAGCGCGGGATAGATTAGGGAAGGGCAAGGCAAGAGCAGGGCAGGGTAACAGGACAGGACAGTAGGACAAGACAGGATAGGATGGGACAGGACAGGCAGGACAGGACAGGACAGGACAGGACAGGACAGGACAGGACAGGACAGGACAGGACCAGACTGGACAGCAGGATGAAGCAGGCAGGGTAGGACAAGGCAGGGCAGGGCAGGGCAGGACCGGACCGGAAAACAGGACAGCGCAGGGCAGGTCTGCAGGATTGGGCAGCACAGCACAGCACAGCACAGCACAGCACAGCACGGCACGGCACAGCACAGCACAGCACAGCACAGCACAGCACCGCACAGCACAGCACAGCACAGCACAGCACAGCACAGCACAGCACAGCAAACAACAGAACGGAACAGAACAGAACAGAACAGAATAGAATAGAGCAGAACAGGGCAGGGTAGGGCGAGGCAGCTGAGGCGAGGTATAGATAGGCTAGGCTAGGCACTGGGCGGTAATTTTTGTCGGTCATCACGGCGACGGTCGGAATTACCAAGTTCCAGACATGTAGCGGGCGATGGTGGTATAGTGGTGAGCATAGCTGCCTTCCAAGCAGTTGACCCGGGTTCAATTCCCGGCCATCGCATCATCCGTTTTATGTTCCAACCCAACATGCTGAATGCTTGAAATGAGGCACTGGATGAAGCCCCTAGCCCCCCTAGCCCAGATTGGCTCGGCAACAATCCATCCAACGAACCCGTCTCGTTTGTCGCTTATTGTTTAACCCCCATGCTAGTGCGAGCTAGGTTTCACTTTGCCTTTCCGCCATCTGCACTAACTTGGCCTCGCCTGACGTGATGTGACCTGATGTTGCCTGGTCTGCAGCTGGCCTGACTAGACCAGATCAGGCTACCTTCCCTGTGTACCCTGAACTTATGTGATCAAACTTGGACAACGACATAGAGCCACGATACACGATAGTATGACCTAGTCTGATCTGGCGTGGTCCGTTCTTGTCTGGTCTTGTCTGGTCTTGTCTGGTCTGGTCGGAACTAGTCTTGTCTTGTTACGTGTAGTGTAGTATAGTCTAGTCCCGTCTAGGCTAGTGTAGCCTGACTGAGTCTCATCTGGTGTTGTTGCTTGACATGGGGAGTCTGAGCCCGATCATGTTAGGCCAGGCCAAATCGGATCGGTTGAGATCGGGTCGGTCAGATGGAATCGGTTCAGACAGGACAAGACAGGATATTACAGACAAAACAGAACAGAACCAGAACCGGTAGGACAGGGCAGAGCAGATCAGAGCAGAGCAGAGCAGAGCAGAGCAAAGCAAGGCAAAGCAAAGCAAAGCAAAGCAGACAAGGCACAGCAGGCAGGGCGGGGCAAGGCAGGGCAGGGCAGGGCAGGGCAGGGCAGGGCAGGGCAGGGCAGGGCAGGGCAGCTGAAGCGAGGTAAGGCTGGGATAGGCCAGCCGCCGGGCAGGAACTTGTGTCGGTCATCACGGCGACGGTCGGAATTACCGAGTTCCAGACATGTAGCAGGCGATGGTGGTATAGTGGTGAGCATAGCTGCCTTCCAAGCAGTTGACCCGGGTTCGATTCCCGGCCATCACATCGACCGTTTTATGTTGCAACCCAATATCCTGAGTGCTAGAAATGAGGCACAGGATGAGCCCATAGTCGGGGATGACTCGGAAACAATCCAGTCCAACAGACACGTCTCTTATCTCGCTTACCAACCACCTTGACAATACGAGCAAGGTTTTGCCTTGCCTTGCCGCCATCTACGCCTGGGTTGGCCTCTCTTGATCTGACGCGACCTAATCTTCGGTGATCTGATTGGCCTGACTAGACATAGACCAGACTCTATGTGCCCTATGTACGATGATATTCATATTCGAGCTTGAACAACTACCTAAAGCCACTAGACAGTAGAGCATGGCCTGACCTGGCCCAGACTGGTCTGTGCTGTTCTGGTCTGGTCTGTTCTAGTCTGTTCTGTTCTGTTCTGGTTGCTTTAATCTAGTCTAGTCTGATCTGATCGGGTCGGGTCGGGTCGGGTCGGGTCGGGTCGGGTTTGGTTTGTATTGGCCTGATCTACTGCAGTCTGGTATGGTTTAATACAATGTAGTTTAGTCTAGTCTAATCTCGTCTAGTCTAATCTAATCTAGCCCAGTCTAGTTTAGTCTAGTATAGTCTAGACCAGTCTAGTCGAGACTAGACTACACTGATCTAATCGAGGTTCATCGGATGTGGTTGCTCTACATGGGGAGTTTGAGCTTGATCAGGTTAGGCCAGGCCACATCGGATAAGGGCAGCGTAGAGCAGGTTAGGGAAGAGCAAGGCAAGAGCAGGGTAGGGCAGCAGGACAGAACAGTAGGACAAGAAAGGACAGGACAAAACAGAACAGAACAGAACAGAACAGGACAGGGCAGGGCAGGGCAGGGACAGGACAGGACAGGACAGGACAGGACAGGACAGGGCAGGGCAGGGCAGGGCAGGGCAGGGCAGGGCACCGGACCGGACCGGACCGAACTGCACATTAGGATAGAACAGACAGGACATGACAGGGCGGGGCAGGGCAGTACCGGACAACAAGACAGAATAGGCAGGACAGGGCATGGCAGGTATTGGCAGAATAGGGCAGGACAGCACAGCATAGCACAGCACAGCACAGCACAGCACAGCACAGCACAGCACAGCACAGCACAGCACAGCACAGCACAGCAGCGCACAGCACAACACAGCGCAGCACAGCACAGCACAGCACAGCACAGCACAGCACAGCACAGCACAGAACAGAACAGAACAGAACAGAACAGTGCAGAGTGGGTCGAGGCAGCCACGGCGCGGCATAGTCAGGCTAGGATAGCCACCGGGAGGCAATTTTTGTCGGTCATCACGGCGACGGTCGGAATTACCGGGTTCCATACACGCAGCAGGCGATGGTGGTATAGAGGTGAGCATAGCTGCCTTCCAAGCAGTTGACCCAGGTTCGATTCCCGGCCATCGCATCATCCGTTTTATGTTACAACCCGACATGCTGAATGCTTGAAATGAGGCACAGGATGAAGCCCCTAGCCCAGATTAGCCCGGCAACAATCCATCCAACGAACCCGTCTCGTTTGTCGCTTACTGTTTAACCCCCATGCTAGTGCGAGCTAGGTTTCACTTTGCCTTTCTGCCATCTGTACTAACTTGTCCTCACCTGACGTGATGTGACCTGATGTTGCCTGATCTGAGCGGGCCTGGCTAGACCAGATCAGGCTACCTACCCTATGTACCCTGAACCTACGTGATCGAACTTGGACAACGACATAGAGCCACGAGACACGATAGCATGACTTAGTCTGGTCTGGCGTGGTCCGTTCTTGTCTGGTCTTGTCTGGTCTTGTCTGGTCTGGTCCGAACTGGTCTGGCCTTGTTATGTGTAGTGTAGTTTAGTGTAGCCGGGTAGAGTCTCATCTGGTGTGGTTGCTTGACATGGGGAGTCTGAGCCCGATCATGTAAGGCCAGGCCACATCGGATCGGTTGAGATCGGGTCGGTCAGATGGAATCGGTTTAGACAGGACAAGACAGGATATTACAGACAAAACAGAACAGAACCAGAACAGTTAGGACAGGGCAGAGCAGATCAGAACAGAGCCAGCAAAGCAGGCAGGGCAGGGCAGGGCAGGTCAGGACATAGCAGGACAGCAAAGCAAAGCAAAGCAGAGCAGAGCAGAGCAGAGCAGAGCAGAGCAGGGGAGAGCAGAGGAGGGCGAAGCAGGGTAGGGCATGGCAGGGCGGCCGAAGCGAGGTTAGGCTGGGCTAGGCTAGCCACCGGCCGGGAATATTTGTCGGTCATCACGGTGGCGGTCGGAATTACCGAGTTCCAGACATGTAGCAGGCGATGGTGGTATAGTGGTGAGCATAGCTGCCTTCCAAGCAGTTGACCCGGGTTCGATTCCCGGCCATCGCATCGACCGTTTTATTTGCAACCCAACATCCTGAATGCTAGATATGAGGTACCGAACAAAGCCCGTAGTCGGGCATGGCTCGGAAACAATAGAATCGAGCGGACACGACTCTTATCTCGCTTACTAACGCCTTGGCCATACGAGCGAGGTTTTCCCTTGCCTTGCCGCCATATATACCTGGCTTGGCCTCACCTCATCTGATGTGACCTAATGTTGGCTGATCTGACCTGGCCTGACTGGACCAGACCATACTTTACGTACGCTTGATAACCTGAGGTTACGTGATCGACCTTCGCCAACCATCTA